CCGTACTCACCTGATTTGGCCCCCAGTGACTTCCACCTTTTTCCAAACCTAAAAAAATTCTTGGCTGGAAAGAGATTCCACTCAAATGACGAAGTCATCTCTGAAGTGAACGAGTATTTTGCACACCTTGACAAATCGACCTATTGTGATGGCATAAAAAAGCTAGAACATCGCTGGAATAAGTGCATTGCTAACAGAGGAGATTACATTGAAAAATAAAAAAAGTTTTAACATTATTTTGTTTGTTTTTCTATGTGAGGCCGCGAACTTTCCGAACAGCCCTCGTAGTTATTACTATAAATACATTTTTATAAAAATTAAAGTACTTAATAAAATTTAACTGTTTCATATTAACTTTGCTTTCAGAGATAATGAAAAAGAATTACGTGATTTACATAATACCATAAATGAATTTCACTCAAACTTTCAAGCAAAAGATAACCAAATAAATGATTTAAAAAAGCAGATTGAAAGTATAGAAAAAGAAAACTCATACATGAAAACTAAATTGCAACAAGAAGAAGAAAAGACAAAAGAAATAAAACTTCAGTTTGACAATGTAGAAATTTGTTTACAACAAAAAGAATCAGAATTACAAGCTGCAAAATCTAATTGTGAAGAAAAATTAGCTCAATTACAACAAATTCAAAATAAATTTGATACATTAACACAGCAATATAATTCCTGTGTAAATGAATTTCAGGTACAGTATTTACAATAATGTTTTTACTGTTTAATTATTTCATTTTTTAAATAAATTGGAGCAAAATATTACAAAATTTTTACAAATTTTTATCAAAATTAAATTGTTTTTGTAATACAGTTTCTTTTTATTTGAATTATTAAGATACATTATACTAAAAGAAAACATAAATATTAATTTTGAATATTTTATTCTTTTTACCATAAATCAAAAATAATTTTTTATTAATAAAATTAAAAACTAATTGTTTTTATTAAAATATATTATCAAATTATCAAGCAGTAAACTATGAATTTTTGTCAGAATTAAAACAATTATGAGTACTAGTACCATAATGTTAAGATATACACTCATCTCTCTTTTTTATCACCCATTTTGTACTTGCAAAAAATTGGTAGTAAAATCAAAGTGTGACAAAACTGGAAATTATGCATTTTATAGTGAAAATGAGCTAAATGAAAACAAACAAAAACAGTTCTATTAACATGAAATAACATGCTACCTAATATATGCTAAATGCAAAAAATAGATTATAATATTACTGATCTGGAATGTAAAGTTGGATGAGATGTGGCACAGTTTTATAAAATTGCTGTATGTTAAAAACTAATTGTGAAGAGATTCCACTGCAGCATCTCACTTGACTTTACCTCAGCTCTTAGCACAGTAACTAAGTTTTTCTAACTATACACATGATTCATAAAATTGAAAGTGAAACTTGCTGCTGCAAGAAAGAAAGGAAAAATTTCAAAAAGATGGACAAAATACAGAGAAGTGATAAAAATGAAAAAAAAAAAAAAAAAAACAATTTCTAAGGACTAGTGACAAAACAGGAAATGTGAAAATGTGACACTTTTCAAGATGGCAAAAAGGAAGAATGAGTGTATATTGAAATAAAATTGAAATCTTTGTTTTTGTTTTAAAGTATATAAGTTACGTATATTTATTTATTAATAAAGGCATTAAACCGAAAGTATAATACTGCATTATTTCAAATTTAACATGATCTCAACTTNGAAGAATGAGTGTATATTGAAATAAAATTGAAATCTTTGTTTTTGTTTTAAAGTATATAAGTTACGTATATTTATTTATTAATAAAGGCATTAAACCGAAAGTATAATACTGCATTATTTCAAATTTAACATGATCTCAACTTTATAAGTTTTGAAATATGTAAAAAGAAAATGCATCTTAAATTCAAAACAATATGATATATTTTATACTTCAGAACAGAAGTGAGGAACTTGTACAATTATGACTTCTTGTGCAACATGATGAAACAAAAATGATATACAGTGGGTGATCGGTTAACGAACATAATCTGTTCTAAGACTTTGTTATCCAAATTGTTTGTTAACTGATTATCAATTTACCTTAGGTTTTTATGGAAATTTGATTAATTTGTTCTGGAGACTCCAAACAATAAAAAAATATATACTTTTTTTACTATGTTTATTTATATGTAATAGTAAAAATACATGTATCTGCAATCTTGCACTTTTATTAGTCATGCTTTTTTCCATTTGTGGGGGTTAAAGAATCTGTCCAATGTTGATTGCTTTTCTCTTTTCTTCAGGATTTTTTGGAAGTAATTAATAGTATTGTAATTGTAAAGATCCCCAACCCCATTAACCTTATTCTGGTTTGGATGCCACTTGGATGATTGGTGTTCTGACATCCTCCCACTTCTTCAAAAGATCTTTAGTAGCAGACATCGACATTGGTCCTCTTTTGTCTTCCTCTTTTTCAAAAGAAAATACATCTCGCTGAGTTTCTTGATATTCTTCATTTGAGAGTTCTTGGAGTTCTGTCATCAGATCAGTTTCAGGTTCCATTATGAGCTCTGAAATGCTCTTTATTTCTCAGATTTGATTTTCATTACTCCATTAGCAACTTGAGACTTCTTGATATATCTTTCATAGCTAAGATTGTGCCTACTGTAGACCTGTTTAAGCCATACTGCCTAGCAACATCAGACATCTTGTGCCTACATTCTACTTTGGCTATTATCTCTTACTTGGTTTCTAAGGTGAGCACAGTTCTTGACACTCCTCTTTTTAGGCTCCATAATATTATCAGTTTCGTTTTTAAATAAAAAGTTCAGAAAAGCACTTACAAAAATTCAGAGAACAGAAGTCAACTAGCCCACAAAAAATTATTTAAATGCAAGGCTGACATGAAATTCAAAATTTCGTATTAAAATGTTAACGAATATCTGACGAGACAGTTAAACTTTCACCTTTTGTAAATAAACCCTTATGCAAAACTTAACAAGTATCCATCTGACAGTCTCACAAAGACTATAAAAAATTATTTGTCAGAAAGGTAAACAATAAGCTGGAATTACAAGAGAGAGTTTCAAAATTCGGAGGAATATTGTACTATCTGATCAGTATTGGGTTGAGCGTCAATGTTGCCGTCTCCCATGCTTCGAAAGGTTTTCAATTGTTACCTGAAGACAAGGAAAAATTAATTGGTATTCATTATTTTCCATCACTTTTTTTTATGTTTGTTCAGTAAAGTGTTCATTGTCTGATCATAAAAATCTTTTGCGAAAGTATTTGTTATCCGATTTGTTCACTATCCGAACTGTTCGTTAACCAATCACCCACTGTATTATAAAATAAATTTTTAGGCATCTGTTTACCTTTATTTAACTTGGATAAATTAACTAAAAACTAGTGTATGAACAAGCAAGTGTGTTTTTTTTTCATATTTTTTATTTCATTTCAAGCAGTAAACTATGAATTTTTGTCAGAATTAAAACAATTATGAGTACTAGTACCATAATGTTAAGATATACACTCATTTCTCTTTTTTATCACCCATTTTGTACTTGCAAAGAATGGGTAGTAAAATCAAAGTGTGACAAAACTGGAAATTATACATTTTATAGTGTAAATGAGCTAAATGAAAACAAACAAAAAAAGTTCTATTAACATGAAATAACATGCTACCTAATATATGCTAAATGCAAAAAATGGATTATAATATTATATTATAATCTGATTATAATCAACTTAATCTGATTACATTCCAGTTGATTATAATCTGATTATAATCAACTGGAATGTAATCAGATTAAGTTGAACTGAAATGTAAAGTTGGATGAGATGTGGCACAGTTTTATAAAATTGCTGTTTGTTAAAAACTAATTGTGAAGAGATTCCACTGCAGCATCTCACTTGACTTTACCTCAGCTCTTAGCAAAGTAACTATGTGAGGAATGAAAGTTTTTCTAACTATACATGTAGTTCATAAAATTAAAAAAATTGAAAGTGAAACTTACTGCTGCAAGAAAGAAAGGAAAAATTTCAAAAAGATGGACAAAATACAGAGAAGTGATAAAAATGAAAAAAACAATCTCTAAGGACTAGTGACAAAACAGGAAATGTGAGAATGTAACACTTTTCAAGATGACAAAAAGGAAGAATGAGTGTATATTGAAATAAAATTGAAATCTTTGTTTTTGTTTTAAAGTATATAAGTTAAGTATATTTATTTATTAATAAAGATATTAAACCAAAAGTATAATACTGCATTATTTCAAATTTAACATGATCTCAACATTATAAGTTTTGAAATATGTAAAAAGAAAATGCATCTTAAATTCAAAACGATATGATATATTTTATACTTCAGAGCAGAAGTGAGGAACTTGTACAATTATGACTTCTTGTGCAACATGATGAAACAAAAATGAAATACAGTGGGTGATCGGTTAACGAACATAATCTGTTCCAAGACTTTGTTATCCAAATTGTTTAACCGATTATCGATTTACGTTAGGTTTTTATGGAAATTTGATTAATTCGTTCTGGAGACTCCAAACAATAAAAAATATATACTTTTTTTACTATTCTTATTTATATGTAATAGTAAAAATACATATGTATGCAGTCTTGCACTTTTATTAGTCATCTTTTACCATTTGTTGGGGTTAAAGAATCTGTCCAATGTTGATTGCTTTTCTCTTTTCCTCATTTTTTGGAAGTAATTAATAGTATTGTAATTGTAGAGATCCCCAACCCTATTAACCATATTCTGGTTTGGATGCCACTTGGATGATCATTGTTCTGACATCCTCCCACTTCTTCAAAAGATCTTTAGTAGCAGATGTTAACATTGGTCCTCTTTTGTCTTCCTCTTTTTCAAAAGAAAACACATCTCGCTGAGTTTCTTGGTATTCTTCATTTGAGAGTTCTTGGAGTTCTTCTGTTGTCAGATCAGTTTCAGGTTCCATTATGAGCTCTGAAATGCTCTTTATTTCTCAGATGTGATTTTCATTACTGCATTAGCAACTTGAGACTTCTTGATATATCTTTCATAGCTAAGATTGTGCCTACTGTAGACCTGTTCAAGCCATACTGCCTAGGCAACATCAGACATCTTGTGCCCACTTTCTACCTTGGCTATTATATCTTACTTGGTTTTTACGGTGAGCACAGTTCTTGACACTTCTCTTTTTAGGCTCCATAATATTATCAGTTTCATTTTTAAATAAAAAGTGCAGAAAAGCACTTACAAAAATTTAGAGAACAGAAATCAACTAGCCCACAAAAAATTATTTAAATGCAAGGCCCGGATGAAATTCAAAATTTGGTATTAATTAATTAAGTTAAGGGGTTAATTAATTTAAAATGTTAACAAATACCTGATGGGACAGTTCTTTCACCTTTTGTAAATAAACCCTGATGCAAAACTTAACAAGTACCCATCTGACAGTCTTGCAAAGACTATAAAAAATTATTTGTCAGAAAGGTAAACAAAAAACTGGAATTACAAGAGAGAGTTTCAAAATTTGGAGGAATATTGTACTATCTGATCGGTAACGGGTTGAGCGTCAATGTTGCCGTCTCCTGTGCTTCGAAAGGTTTTCAATTGTTACCTGAAGACAAGGGAAAATTAATTGGTATTCATTATTTTCCATCACTTCTTTTTATGCTTGTTCAGTAAAGTGTTCGTTGTCTGATCATAAAAATCTTTCGCGAAAGTATTTGTTATCCGATTTGTTCACTATCTGAACTGTACGTTAACCGATTTCCCACTGTATTATAAAATAAATTTTTAGGCATCTGTTTATCTTTATTTAATTTGAATAAATTAACTAAAAACTAGTGTATGAGCAAGCAGTGTGTTTTTTTTTCATATTTTTGATTTCATTACTTATATTAATATGATAAATATAACATAATAAGTAATAAAAGTATAATATAATAATAAGATAGTATAAGAATATAAGTGTATGCTGGAGCATACACTTATATTCTAATGTTAATGCTATATATACAGCATTGCTTGATTAAATTGCTTGATTTCTAGTAGAGAAGGAAAAATTTATTATAATTTAATAATACAGTCTCAGTGCCAGAGGAGAAAAAGTCAAAAATGGGAAAAAAATTTGATACCAATGAAAGATTTTTTTCTCTTGTCTGTGAAATTTTACTGTATTTTTATTAATGTGTGTATATATTTTTTTTAATTTAATTTTATTCAAGATTATAAGTTTGTGTGTAAATGTTTTTCATTTAATAGAAAATAATTTATCTATTTCAGACCAAATGTAATGAATTAGAGCAAAAAAGTCAAAATTTAGAGCAAAGTTTAATGGATAAAGATAAAATATTGACAGAAGAAATGGATAAGTTTCTAGACCTAAATACTCAATATAATCTTTTGCAAAATAGATCTACAACTGTAGAGAATGACTTAAAAAATAAAGAAATTTATATACAAGACATTGAGAAAAATTATGAAAATGTAAAAATTGAAGTCAAAGATAAAACAACTAACTTGTTGTTGATCTCTGAAGAATTAGACAAATTAAAGGAATGTTATGAACAACAATCCAAAAAGTATAATAAATGTAATGATGAACTTAATGAAATGAAAATAGAAATCGATGTGAAAGCAAAAAAAATCTTGTGGTTAGAAAACTCCTTGCAAGAAAAATCTGTAAGTGTTGATCAGTTAGAAAATCAAATTAACAAAACAGAAGTATTATTAGATAATGAGAAAAAGTTAGTGAGTGATTTGCAACACAAATTAGAAGAAAAATCTGAAAATTTGAAAAATGCAGAAGCAATAATTATTCAGATTAAAAGAGAAAAAAGTAATGAAATATTAAATGTTAAAGAAGAGTTAGAAAAGTTAGTTGCAGATTTTGCTGTAAGTACAGAAAAATCAAAGTCATTAGAAGAAGAATTAAAGAACAAGATTATAAGTTTAACTGCAAGTGAAACAAATATAAAAGCATTAGAAGAAAATTTAAATGAAGAACAAGCAGTCAAAAAAGAACTGGAAGAAAGAATCAAAGAGAGAAATGAAATATTAAACAAGTATGAAATTAATATAAAAAATGCACTGCAGGATATTTCAGTAAAAGAAGAGAAAATTAATAAAATTCAAGAAGCATTATCAAAGAAGGATGATCACATTAATGAATTAAAAGCTTCAATTGACTGTATTACAGCTAATCTTGTTGAGAAAGAAAATAAAGTGAAAGAATTGAGTTCTAATCTAAAAGATCTTTCTGAACAAATGCCAGTTTTGGAAGAAAAATTAAATTTATTAGAAGAAGAGAATGCATTAAAGGAAGATCAGATTAAAACACTTAAAGAAAGCTTGAAAGAAAAAGAAGAGTTACTATTAGAATATAAGAATAATAGTAAAGAATTGATATCAATAAAAGAAGAACTAAATGCATCAGTTGAAAAATTAAATTTGACTGAAAGTGAGTTAAAAATGTATCAAAATAATATCTCTGTACTTGAAACAAATTTAAAAGAATTAAATATGACAATTGAAACTAAAGAGAGTGAAATAGAATCTTTACAAACTCTAATTGGTGAAAAGAAAGAAATTATTAATGAAATGGAAATTGAATTAGAGAAACATAAGTCAAGTAATGAAGCTATTAAACAGCTAGAATCAGTTATAAGTGAGAAAGAATCACAACTTGAGATGTATAAACTGAGAGAAAATGAAATCATTGAGCAGGAGCAACTAAGTAAGAAACTTTATGAACTAGAAATGGCTTCAAAATTTAAAGATGATCAGATTTTAGAGTCTGAAAGAAAGTATCAACAATGTCTTGCAGAACTGGAAACTCATAAAGAAAACTATGATAAACTTTCACAAGAAAATTTCATGTTAGAAGAAAATATTGCCAAAAATCAAACTAAATTAGAACAACTGTATACACAACTCAATGAGAAAGATTGTTTAATAGCTACAAACAATGAAAAGATATGTGAAGTAAACCAAAAACTGGATATCATCAAGCAAGAATTACTCAAAAACCTGGAAGAGAGAAGAGTGTTTGAAGAAACAATTGCATCAAAGGAACAAGAAATTGCTTTCTTAAAGTTGAATGAAGTTAACATTAAACAGCAACTAGAATTGAAAAGTAATGATTTTGCAAAACAGAGTAAAGAAATAGAGAATTTTAACCAAGAAATATCTCGTGCCAGTAAAATAAAGCCAATATTAATAAAAGTAATAAAAACTTTAGCTGAAAAGATTGAAGAGTCAACATTAATTTATCATCGAGTCGAGTCAAACAACAGAAGGAGTCTTAAATTTGATTCAAATTCAGTAAATAAAGAAATTTTGGATTTACATAAAGAATCAAAAGGAAATAAAATGAATGAAGATATATGTAAAGAAATTTTTACTCTTATTGATAAAATTCAATTAAAAGAAGAAAAAATTGAGCAACTAGAAGAAGCTCTCTCAGGAGCAACATGGTTGCTTACTATAAATGAATGTCAGTTAGCTGAAAAAATAGATGATATAAATAAATTGAAAATATCTATTCTTCAATCTAATGAAAAATATAGAGTTATAAATGATTTATTAAAAAAAGAAAAGGAAATGGTAGAAAGTCTAAAGTGTAAGGTAGAAAATCAAGAACGTACTCAAATTATACATAAAGATGAGAAAAGTTTAAACATGTTTCATGATGACATTTTAAAGAAAGAATCAAGAATTAAAGATCTAGAGGAACAAATACTTTCCTTGAAACATTCCATTGAAATCAAAGATGAAAGATTAAAATCATTCAAAGATGATGTGTTAAGGTTAGAAAATGAGTTAGAAAATCAAAAAAATAACAATTGTATGGTTGATATACTGAATTCTTGTACAAATGACACAAATGAAAAATGCTTAAATGATTTAAGCATGCAATTAAATCTCACAAAAGAAAAATTACAGGAACAAAATATTAAACTGATTAACTTAGAAAGGGAACTTTCAAATGCTAATTGGTTACTTACAATTAAAGAATGTCACTTGGTGGAATATAAAGATAAAATATTGACATTAGAAAATAATTTTGATAAACTTAATATTGATTATGAACAATTACTTAAACAGATTCATGAATCTAAACGTATTACAAAGGACAATTTTGTTAATCAGGAATATCTCCAGAAATCTGTACAAACAAATCAAAATACTGAAATTTGTAATTTTGAAAGTTTGAAAGATAATCTAGAGATAGAAAAGACAAATTTAGAAAACATTAAGAAAGTAATTGAGGAAAAAACTGGTGTTTTAAATGTTCTGGAAGAAAACATTTGTATGAAAAATACTCAACTGTGTGAAATTCAGCAATGTTTGAATGAGAAGTCTGCTGAACTTGAAAAATTAACAAACGAGAAGGAGAATATTGTAAGAATTCTTGAAGAAGAAAAATTGTTGATACATTCTAACCATCAAGAAATTCAATCTCTAGAAGAAAAATCTTTGCATCTAGAAAAAGTTATTGAAGAAAAAAATAATAATATAAATAATCTTGAAGACGAAGTTTCAAAGAAAAATTTAAGTCTTCAAAGAGTTTGTCAATCCATTGAAGAAAAGTCTTTAGAGTTAGAGAAATTAATTGAGAGAAAAAATGCAATTGAAACTGTTCTTGAAGAAGTTACATTGAAAAATATAGAATTTCAAAAAATTCATCAATCTATGGAAAAAAAATCCATAGAATTACAAGAATTAATTCAGGAAAAAGAAAATTCAGTAATTATTCTTGAAGAAAAGCTTTCATCAAATAATTTTAATATTCAAGAGCTTCAGTCTTTTGAGAAGAAATTTGTTGAATTAGAAAAGCTTATTGAAGAAAAAAATAAAACTGTAAGTTCGCTTGATGAAAATATTTCATTAAAATGTATGAATCTTCAAGATATTCAGCATTCATTAGAAAGGAAGTCTGCAGAATTAGAGGAAATAAATAAAGAAAGAAATAATGCCGTAGCCATTCTCGATGAAAAAATTTCACTACAAAATTTAAATCTTCAGAAAATTAAGTGTTTAGAGAAAAAGTCTGAAGATATAGAGAAATTAATTGAAGATAAAAATAGTATTTTAACTACTCTTGAAGGAGATATTTCATCTAAAACATTCAACCTTCAAGAGATTCAACAACTGATAGAAGAAAGGACCAATGAATTACAAAAACTGTGTAATGAAATAGGAAATATGATAAAGTTGCAAGAAAAAATAAGTGAAAAGAATAATGAAATTGACAATCTGTCACAAATTATTGCTCGGAACAAAGAGGAAATTAAGGAATTAAATGTGACGATTGATGAAATGAAACAATTTCAAAATCAAGAGAAACATAAGTTATCAAATCAAATTAATGAACTCATTTTAAATAAAAATGCTTTACATGAAGAGAATTTTAGATTAATTCAAGAATGTGAGAAACTGAATGAAACAATTTCATGTAACAGCAATAATATATCTAATCTTGGACTTAAAATTAATGAACTATTAGAAAAAGATCAGTTACATAAGGTTAAATATTTAGAAAAATGTCAAAGTTTAGAAAATCTGAAGAGAAAATGTGACTTATTTGCTCAATTGTTTGAAGAAGTTATTCATATACAAAGAAAAATACTTCAATGTGACGAGGCAGAATTATCAACATCTTCCAGTAGTTCATACTTTGAGTGGGAAGATACTGATTCGGAATTTAGAAATATGGAAATGATGATTAATGATTTGAAAGATAGAATTAATAATATAAAGACATCATTCTTTGATCTTTCAGAGAAATTTGAGATAAAAGCCAACTGCGATAATGAACTTATAAAGCTTCAACAGGAAACTATATTAACTCTTGAGAATAAATTTAAAGTTTTATCTCATGAACGAGATGAAATTAAGAACAAATTGGATGATTTTGAAGAAAAGGAAAGAAAACTTTTAGTAGCGATTTGTGAGAAAGACAAAGCCAAAAATGAAGTTGATAAATTGAAAGCTGTTGAAAGTAGATTTATTATGCTATCTGATAAACATAACAGAATTATTAATTTACTTGCCGACTTAAAAGAAGAGACTAAAAAATTCCTTAAAGATCTGCATGAAAGTACTAAAGAAAGCATATATTTAGAAAGTATTGATAAAGTGAACAATTCAGATGATCTGTGTGAGTTTATTAATGAAATTAAAGTTACAGTACATAGAATTATACAATCTATACTATCATTAACTGGTGATAAAAGTACTTTGGAGTCTAAAGTGGATAAACAAAGCTTGGCAATAAAACAATTGAATGAAACTATAGAAGAAATTGAAGAAAATCTTCAAAAACTTTTTGAAGAAAAAAGTTTATTGTTAGAGAAATTTAACAGTCTTGACAAAGAACATAATGATCTATCAGCACACTATAATGAATTAAAAGAAAAACTAGATGTACAGAATAGTCAAGTTGTACTGTTAAAAAGTGTTCAGAACGAATACAATAATCTTAAAATCAAGTTAAATGATTATGAAGAACAACTTCATACATTGCAAAAAGAGCAAGACAATTATTTAAATTCAGAAGAAAGGGTCTTAGATTTGGAGACAAAACTGGTAGAAATGGAAGAAAAGTATGAAGAAATGGAGAAAAATTTGAAGTTAATTACAGAGAAGTACAGAAGTGAGTGTAAAAATAAAGAAGAGTCAGAAGTTGCAATTAATCAATTTTTACTAGATAAAGAGAGCTTAAATAAAGAAATTGTCATGTTGAAAAAAGAAATTTCCATTTTAAAGACTGAAAATAGCAATCTTCGTTTGGAAATAGTTGATAAAGCAAGAGATTTAGAAGATAAAAATGTTAAAATTCAAGAGAAGGAAAGTACGTTAAGCAAATTAAAACTGGAAATTGAAGAGAAAGAATATGATCTTCTACAACAATTATCAGATTGTAATTTAAAGATAGAAAATCAGAATAATGAATTGAAACGATTAGAATCCAAATTACAAAATAGTGAATGTGAGCAGAAATTACTCTTAAAAGAACGTCAAGAGAATGAATCTGAAGTAGAGAAACTGTGGAAGAAATTAAAATGCGTCGAGGATACATTAACAACCAAAAATAACGAATTAAAAGATTGCCAGAAGTCTTTAGAAACGTTAAAAATCGAATATGAATTGAATAAACAGACATGGAAAGATAATAATCTTCATTTGGAAAATCAGTTAACTTCATCAAAAGTTTCATCATCAAAATTAAGTAATGAATTACAGTCCGTTAAAAAGCAACTTTCCAAAACTCAGTCTCAGTTAGAGGAGAAAAATGAAGAATTGAAGTCTAATCAATCAAAATTACATCATTATAACATTCAGTTAGTAAATACAGAAAAATTATTATCTGAAGCTAACAAAACAATTAAAGAATATAAAGAAAAATTAGATTTTGGTAATTTAAAACTTGCACACTCTGAGACAATCAAAAGTGCAGAAAACTTATTTGAACAACTCCGTAAGCAGTTAAAGAATAAGTCAGAAGAGTATGAACGCGAAAGGGATAAGATTCAAGAATATGTTCGTAAAAATAATGATTTAAAGAAAAAATTAGAAAGTTTAGATCAAGAACATGGTAAAATAATTCAGGAAAATGCAAGGCTGCAGAAATTGTCTAATGAAAAGGAATTATTAAATGAAAACCTTAGTACAAGTATTAAAGAATTGAATAAAAAACTGTTAGAATGTGAACAAAAATACAGCAAAGAGAAGAAAGAATGGGATGATGATAATAAAAGGATGGTAAGTTTAATAGAAATTTAATTTATTTTGTAGAAATTTGTAATTTAATGGTAGTGTCTTTGATATTATAGATAATGTTTATAAGCATTTTGATTTCAAAATTTAAATATTTCTTTGTAACTTTTCAATCAGATATTTCTTTTTTTGCTGTAATAAAAGCAGAAAAGAAATATTTGATTGGAAAGTGTAAAATTTTGTAGTTAATGATGGTGCACTAATATGAGGTATATTATTGCATTTTTGCATGATAATCACTAATTCTTGATTTAATAGTAATGTTCATAGGTATATGTTCAGGAGGTTTCACATATAAAATCAAGCAGTCTGAATGATGTCTAATACCATTGATCCCTATACAATTTGAACATGTGTCTTGTTCATAGGTGTTATGTGGAACATCTTTCCCAACACCCTATATTATTTACAGTGTATTAGAAAAGATCATATATATCAATTTTGCAATTAGTAACTAAATATTAGCAGAGATTTTGTCTGTAATCTTGGCATTAACTCATCAATTACTATATTGACTTTATAAAATTCTAACACATCAATTTATTCACTCCATTAGAAAGAACATTATTTTTATTGCTTCAAAACATGGCATTAGTTTTCAAACTACATTTGCTGTTTAACTGCTGCTTTCTTATCCAATACATCTTTTAATTAAAATAGAATACTTAAATAAATTTTTCAGATTATATAGGTATATAATAGTATATTTCAGTCAAATATGTTTTTTCTGTGATATTAATGATTCAACATAAGATGTTTTAATTCAAAGTAGGAAAGTTCTTATGAGTGCAATGAAATTTCAATTTACCAAACATCTAATAATGATAGACCCAATTATCTGGAATAAAAAAAAAACTGATAATTGCTAGTTAACAGACTTGATTTGTATAAAAAATTTGCTTAATTTAAAAGATTATCAGACAAGATTTTAGTCTACAATCTACTAAAAATTGACTGTAAAGTTTCAGTAGGATTTATCTCTGGACTATTTCCAGGTTGAGGTAATGTTTTGATATTATTTATACTCAAAAATTTGAAGACTTCTTGCCTTATTGCAAATGGCATCATCATTATTTCATGAAAATACACTTTTGATTAGGAAATCAGTAGTGAATTTGTGAGAGTAGGGATTCTATATATTTATATATATTTGTATATAATAAAAAATAAATATGTAACAATATTTCGTTTGTTCAGTGGGAGTAGAGATTAAACCAAATGATCAAAAAATCTTATATAGTCTTAGAAAGTATGCAGTGTAACAATAAAAAGTTGGTAGTACAAGGTTTAAAAAAAATTGGACAAAAGACAGGAAACAACATTGAAAATTTCAATATTCTAAACTCCATGGGCAAATAAGAAAAAACAGTCCTACTTGTTTGAATAAAAAAATTATTGAATGATTGTTTGCACATAAAAATTGTGATGTTTTGTAAAGGAAATGTCTCCAATTCTCAAATTGTTATAGGAATGCCATGTTGTATGGGGATATATGTATTCTATAAACCAGGAGTACTGAACCTATGGCACATAAATAGAAATCATTTGGCACATAATGAATCATACAATTTTGATTTATCATTGTCTTTTTCAATCACCTTTTGGTTTATCACCTGATCATCCTTTCTTCAATCAGCTTTTTTACAATTATCCCAATTAAAGCAGATTTGTATAATATTTTTTAAATATCATTATTTGAAGTCTAAAACTTTGGCATTCATAAACATGGCTTACTATAAGGCACATGGGTTCAAAAAAGGTTTGCCATCCCCGGTATATACTATACTAATTTTTTTATTTTTAGGCTGCAATTTGAAAAAATTGTAGACTTATAAATTCCACTGTCTTTCCTTAATCACGAAAATGGAATTATATAGCTGAAATCTGAGATCAGATATGGAAAACCTTAGGACAGGAGGTCCTGATTAACTATACAAACTTCAGATGCAAACTGGAAGTCATATTACATTAATTCAAAACTTCCCCCTGAAAGCAGTTAATAGATGATTGGAATGACTCTATTGTTAAAGGAAAAGTATGAATGATACACTGTACAGGGGCAAGACACTACTAATTTAAGGTTGAGAGCATATATTTTAAATGAAATAAATTAAAAATATGATTAAAAATTGCAGCCCAGCATTATGACGATGTCACAATAAATAATTGCTCATTTAATTTCACTTTCTTTAGATTATTTATGTCTTCCTTGAGGTGTTAAAAGATAAATTTAACACAACTGAACAAAATTTAATGAATATTTTTGTTAATCAATTTAACTTGTTTGGCTGTAACAGCCAATTTTTAAAAGTTGTCATATTCTTTGCATGTGATTTTATTTTAACAACTAGCTGCAAGGACCCGCTTCGCTGGGTTTTTAAAAAGTAACGATAGTGAAGATTAAGATAATTACATTATAGCCAATATTACCCGTTTTCACATAATGCAAAAATTAGGTCCCCTGTTTCCAGACTAATTAGAGACCTGGTCCCGATTCTATTTCTGAACGTCTCCTGTTCACGTCCGGTCAAAGGAACTATTTTCAATGTTTCTGGAACGTTTACAATTGTTCTATAATCGAACCAATATTTGAATTTTATGTTCAAATTTAATTCGAACAAAACATTCGAAATAGAAAGCCACTTTCAACCACTTTCAGCCTCATATCTCCCGCACCCTTATAGCTATCGAGACGCAACCACCCGTATGCACGAATGGAGACTTGGGGCTACTACCACATACAAACACCATTCATGTGCAATGTGTAGTTTTGGCAGAAAAGTGAAATATAGGGACATACACGTCCATTTTTATATATATATATATAGATGACAATAGCTTATTATTATCAAAAATACTTGTTATTAAATATTATTTTTATAATTTTATTATTTGAGGATATTCAAAACACAGTTCTGTTTGTAATTGATAAATTATTCATTTATATTTGATTTATAAATTGATAAATTTCTTTCATATCTATAATTATATGTTGCTAGCTGGCTGAGATGGCAAATGTGTCTGATATCCATCCCAAGTCAAAATTTACGAATTTTTTGTGGCAATTTGTTTGACTCAGATGTGTTGAACACCTCTTTGTCATTATCTAGCCATTTTATTGAGGTCCAAGTGTATCCATAATATATAAGATTAGGATAGTCCATGTGGTCTGTAATGTACTGGCACCTTGCATTGATTCAATTAATTAATTCATTATAATGAAAAATGACATTAAAATAATCTGAAATCTGAGTTATATGCATTTTTTTAAACACTAAGAAATACTTTGATAATAGAAAAGATAGGGGTTTAGAATTTTCTATTGTTTTGACTTTTATTTATTATGTTTTTAATTATTTTTAGCTTGAATTAGAAGAAAAAAATAAATCTCTTGAGACTGAACTTTTGTCTCTCCAGTCTTCTTTCCAGCAAATAGAAAAAGAGTTGCATGAATTTAAGAAAACTGATGATTCTAATCTAAATGAAATGATTCAAGTAAGGATATTTTTTCTTCCTCGATTTTTTGAAATAAAATAAAATAATTATAAATTTTTAATGTAAAATATGTTGATGTAGAACATGACAGCTCAATTAAAAGACACTTCTAAAGAATTGCAAGATAAAGAAACTGAATTATCTCAGGTTAGATTGAATTATTGTAAATCATTACAAGAAGTGGACATTTTGTATGAAAAGTATGACTGGTTAAAATTAAAATTAAATATGTGTGAAGAAGATTTAAAAGAAGAAAAGAAAAAAAATACTCAAAATATTGATCAAGAAGATAATTTGTTAGAACGGGATAATTACCTTAATGAAGAAGAGGAAAGTGATCTAGAAGAGGAATTGCAACTTTCTTCTAAAAGTTGTAAATCTAAGAGTAGAACTCCAGAATCAAAGAGTGATTTAAAAAGAAAAATCACACCCAAGAAGAATGTTACCCCAGCAAAATCACCCCAGCAAAAAGTCAGTAGTGAAAATGTGTCCCCTTCAATGAATTTGAAGACAGAGAAGTTAAAATGTTCATATTTTCCTCCAGTGAAACATTCTCAGCCTATAGCTGAAGAAAAGAAAATGAATACTTCTAGTAAGTATAATAAAGTAAAAAAATAATAATATATTATAAAGAATTATAATATCATGTAAAACAGAGTAATGCTTTCTTTATCCAGTTTAGTTTTAATTTAGTCAAGAACATTTGTAAAATTAAGTGACAGAAACAAACAAAATTGTACTTTCAGTTCTTACTTTCAAAAACCCAAATGTGTGCATACACTTACACATTTGCACACAAATATCATTTTTCCTTGTGTATATACACTACTTAAACAGATTGTGTTTATACATATTATGTTTATTATCATGTAAATAGGGATTATATTGAATATATTCAATATAATCCCTATTTACATGTTAATAAATATATAATAGGGATATTATATATTTATTATCATATAATAATATAATCCCTATTATTTGATTTCTGCATTTCTCTTCTACACTAGTTACATTATTTGCTGCTATTATGCCTATAGAAACACATCATTTAACTAGTGACATTGATATCACCACAAAAGACTTTGCCTATTGGCTGGATACTGACAGAAATGTTTTTAGTACATAAAAAGTAGAAAATTCTGTTCAATTTTAAGTTTTAAAAAAATGTTATGCTCATTCTTAGTTATACCATTTTATGCATGTTTGTTCCTGGCATTAAGAGAGAGTGTGTTTTTCTAGTTCGTTCCTGTGATTCTCTTGTTAAATCTCCAAAACTCGTTGCACATTCAATTATATCTTACATAATTTTAAGCTCAACAAAAACTAGTTTAAAAATTTAGTATTATTTGAAAACTATTGATTTACAATATAAAAGAAACAACTTAATAGTAATGTTTACAATATAATTTCTTATACCATTTATTATATTATAAACTAATATGTATTTCAATGTTATTAATCATTGTTTGCTTAGTAATGTTAACTATGATACTCATGTGATAGTGAACATGATTTTGTTAATAACACTTAAAATATATTAATTTTATAAATGAATATCTTTGTGATAATGTGAAACATTATCAGACATCATCATTCATTCCATTAATGTTTTTGTTTGAACACCAACTACAGTATACATCTTTAAATTAATACAACCGATAGAAATATGAAAATGCATCATACATAGTAAATTTAGACAAATAATCTGCAGATCTTTAAAAATTTTAAATATTATAGGTGCATTTTTTTAGATTTTTAATCTATATATATAAAATTGCTTGTCCTGACTGACTGACTCACTGACTGATTCATCATTGCCCAGAGCAAACTGCTGGACCTAGAGAGGTGAAATTTGGTACACAGTTAGGGTACGTCATGAAAACGCACACTAAGAAGGGATTTTTCAAAATTCCCAAGTGGGGGGAGAGGGAGAGCATTAAGTGTTAACTGTAAAAATGGTTTTTACTGTACCATTTTAAATGCAATTTTTTTCTTTTTATATGCGTTTTAGTAGGGAGTGTCATGGAAATTCACATTAAGAAAGGATTTTTCAAAATTTCCCCGCGGGGGGAGAGGTAGAGCATTAAGGCTTAACCAGAAAATGGCTTCTACTGTACTATTTTAGATATGATTTTTTGTTTTCAATTACGTTTAGTCTTCATTGAGTACTTAGGTGTATTAAATTGATAACATTTCAGACATTGTTATAAATATTTTTATCTATTTCGATTTTAATTAAGTTCGTTCGATCCGTTTTAAATTCAAATTTGTTATTGCATATTGGTTCGATTATAGAACGATTGTAAACATTCCAGAAAATTGATGAAATTGAAGATAGTTTGTTTGATTCTCGGCAATTCTCTTCAGCGGTAGGTGTTATATGACAATTACCATGATTATTGAAATATTGAATGTAAATGGGGTTTGCTTGCAAAACCTCCGCGGACGAAGTTGCGGGTAACAGCTAGTACTTCATATAGATGAGAAAGATTAAGATTGCTATTAATGAAATTGAAAGATATTTAGCATTAACTGATATTTAGCAGATATTAAATTATCTGCTAAATATCAGTTAGAATAATTTGCTATATATTGGGTCTAATGTTATATAGTTGTACATGTTAATTGAACTGTATTTTTTTTACAAGCCATGAGAATTTTAGGTAATAATAGAATTAGACAAATTAAAATTAATCACTAATCCCTAACAAGCAAAATCTTAGCTTCTCATTCAGCTATAAAAATATATAAGGAAAATATACTTTTTGTTATAATGCAAAATTTTCATTACTGATCAAAATTAACCAATATCACACCTGGTAACACCTTATTTGGAGAACCTTTTGAAGTTGATGTCAGTTGCATGTCATCTTTTGTTTTTCCTTTTCTTTTAATAGGACTGAGAGATGGTGCACTCGGTAAAGATGGAAGACCAGATTTAATATTTGATGTGGGAGATTGCTCATCAATAATATGAGAAAATATATTTAGTAATCTATGAAAAAAAATAATTCATTATTGTGAGTATTAATTTTACTTCATTATTGTTTAAAAGCAAATAATCTAAATATATAAAATTACTTGTCCTGACTGACTGAGTCACTAATCATCGCCCAAAGCAAACCGCTGAACCTAAAGAGGTGAAATTTGGTACACAGTTAGGGTACGTCATGGAAACGCACACTAAGAAGGGATTTTTCGAAATTCCCCTGCGGGGGAGAGGGAGAGCATTAAGGCTTAACTGGAAGAACAGCTTCTACTTACTATTTTAGATGCGATTTTTTGTTTTCAACAACATTTAATCTTCATTGAGTACTTAGGTGTATCAAATTGATAACATTTCAGACATTGTTATAAATCTATATATATAAAAATGAATGTGTGTGTGTGTGTGTGTGTGTTACCACACTGTTTATCTGATTGCCGTGAAACTTTGGACGTGAACACACAGTGCATGTATACGAGCACTGTGTGTTCTGTGTGTTCAATCGATTTCAAATTGTGAAGACCATTTCCCCCTCCAAAAAATATCTCTATATATGCATTTGTTATTTACAATATTTGTAATAATTTTTGTTTAATCACTTTATTTCAACTTTTTTTTTGCTAATTATGTATTCCCTCGAACTTTGTTAAAACCTTAACTGTATCCCAAACAACAACCGAAGTTGAAGGAGGAAATTTGCCTATTTTACCGATCTAGGGATCTTCCTTTTCCAAATTTTAATATCAACTCAAAGTAATTTAAAAAGACAAATTACAATAAAACGGTTTATTATCCAACTATCAGAAATTTCACAACATGCCAAGGAAGAGAGGANTTGTTATAATTTTAGTTACTTGTTTAACCCTTTATTTTTTACGATTATATTAAATTATTAAGAGTTTAAAAAGTAATGTAAAAAAACTTTAATTTGATAAAATAGAGTATAATGATGAAATATACTCTCACAATGGATCTTTTCTAATAGGCAACAGATAGAGTTTGAGATTTTGTCCTCTCTCTCTCTCAATGAACTTCGATAACAATTGTATATTAGTAAAACATAGCTCTCTTCTCTTTTCAACATCTCATGAGTTCAAGAGTAGGAATATTTTATGAAATAAATGTTTTAAAATACATCAGTATTTTTAATTAAAATGTAATGAGTTAATTGTATATTTTACTAATGTTATGTTTCATTTTATATTACAATGACACATTGAATTTCCAATTCATATTTCAGCAAAGTTTTTAGATAGATTTTATTTAAATATTTTGAAATCTAAATGTAAGTTAACTATATAGACTTACAGTTTGTGATTATTACAAAAATTATTAAATTTTTAAATTGATATATTATTTTTATATTGTTTCAGAGATAAATACTAGAACATCAAAGAGAACTCAAATACAACCTCCTGTGGAGAAACGTACATATAACAAAATAAAAGATAGCTGTTCAGATGATAAAGAAACTAAAGAAAATAAATGTAAATTATTATTATTACTATTATTATAAGTGTGAAAATAAATTTATGAATTTATAGTTTATAATACATTGTTCCTATATTAAATTTTTTGCTATTGCTGTGCTTGCAATTTCTAGAAAATTTTTCTTGCAATTTTTTAAAAAAATTGCAAGAAAAAATTGTACTAAAAAGCATTTTTTAGTGCACTTATACATAATCATGTTCAAAGTTAGCATTCATATACTGTACCTTGAATTCATTAACTCTTGATCAAACTTATAAAAATACCCAAGAAAGGCTTTGTTTATCATAAGTTCAGTTTTACCATTTTACAACTTATTTAATTTTTCAGTTTTGATATTTGATTCTTTTAAAAGTGATAAAGGAATAAAGTATTTAAGAATATCAATGAAAAGGGAAAAAAAAAACAAAATATATAAAATTTGCAAAATCTTCAATAAATGTAGAAAGATTGAGATTTAACACATTGATGACCAGATGACTAAAGCAGTAAAGATATTAGCCTGTTGCTACATGAGAACCTGATCTAGAACCTCTGGAATCTTTCTTTAATGGTATGTCTTGGATACATTGGAATCTGTCCCTCACCATCATGATTTGACTGAATGTATAATGGACATGGTAAAATGGCCTTTTTAGTACTGGCAGGGTAAAAAGAGATTTAAAAAGTCATGTAATGATTATAAGTATTTATATAAAGATTTTGTTAACAAATGCTTTCAAATAAAATATAAACAGATTTAAAAACTTGTCAAATTTTTCCTGTTACTTTTTAATATGTAAATTAATATAAAGATAAATTTTAAACTTTTAATTATATATTAGTATCTATGCTGGTGTCATTCCATTTATTTTGTCTCTGTAGATCTTTAAAATGATTATCATCAAAAAATTTTATTAAATTTAGGAACAAACACAGCTTTAACCAGTCTAACACTTAAAAATTATACAACTTAGCAATAAAACTTACAAGAAATCAAAATAAATATGGCAGGTACTTTTTGTTTTAATTAATTTAGGATGCAGTTTAAATAAAAATACCAGCATTTCAACCATATCTATGGATAATCAAAATAAGATGCATTTATTGTATATAGTTTTATTTCTTATAAGTTCTATTACTAAACTGTGTAATTTTTAAGCATTAGACTAGTTGAAACTATTGCTCATTTCCAAATTTTGACAAAAAAAAAAATATATCCCCATACAGTATAACACAGTAGTTAGGTTTCAAAATTATTAATAAGGTTTGCTATACAAATCTATGCTATATGAAACAAAGGATTAGTATAAAATATAGGGTTAGGGTTAGGTACAAAATTAGTAAAAATATACTATTCTGTTTTGTAATTAAGAGAAATATGTTTATTAAAGCAATCAATAAATAACTAACAATCACAATCAAATGTATTGCATGCTAATAATTTTTTTTCTTCACTGCTAAACACTGTTAAACAAGGACATTTTCTTTTTGACAAAATATCATCATCTGAGTTTTCCTGTTGACCTTAGTCTGAAGTATTGGCTACATCTTGATTTTTTTCGCTACATTTTTTCATAAAATCTGATATTTTTATTTACATGTATTTACCTAATAAAACTTTAAAACTTAAATTTTTTTATGTATTAACTTTTGATTTTATCATAAAAATAAAACACAGCAGTCTTTTGAGTTCATTTAGAGCACTATCACCATTGACAGCAATACCTGGTTCATGGGAAGCTAGGACAAAGAAGAAGAAAAATTGTACAATTAGTTCTCATTAAAGAAAACTACACAAAAAGCATGAAACAACAGTAAAATTTCAATATTCTAAAATTTGTGGACAAATATGTCATATGATACAACACGCATGCTTGCTTGAATAAAATATATAAAAAATATCGAATAACTGTGTTTGCACTTAAAAATTGTGATGTTTTGTATGGAGATTTTCCCCAATTCTTGAGCTTTGTGAGATCAAAATCATGTTGCAGGTGTGCTGTGTTATGTGAGGGATACTTGTATTGTTATAATCTGGATACATGAATTTTTCAACTAAATAAACTAGATGATCAAATGAAAGGAAGACTTGCAAAAAATAGCATGAGGAGTTTGATAATATTGTGTGTCAGTTACTTTGCTGACTTATTTGTCAAAGCATAGTGTTAACCCATATTATTTAACATTTATTTAATTAAATTAAATGCTGCAATAATTGGATACGCCGTATGTACTAACAGGAATCTTTTATTATGGAAAGTTACATAAAGAAAAAGCGTTATTAAAGTGACAGTTTATGTGAAAATATTCCAAATCATTTGTGCTGATAAAAGTTTTTAATAAATGGTGGTCAGTGGAACTTGAGTGTAAGAAAGACTTGTTGTAAACAAAAAGTTTTTGAAAAAAAGACGTTTGGATATATTATGAAACAAGTCCCACAAAATCTTTAATATTTATCTCAACAGATAGGATTATCTTATGAATCTGTTTATAAAACTATGAAAAGAATCAAATTTAGGCCTAATAAATTAAGGATTGTCTTTGAATTTAGCTTTTTTTAATTTACAGTTTTAAACGTTGCCTCTCAAGTCAAAAGTAAATAAATAAATATTCAAAATTTGAGTGTTTCTTGTGGTGCTTAGCAGAGCAGTAATAAGCATGACCAGCTTACCAAGTCTGTCTGACTCATGACTTGTGGTGTATCTTGCAAATCCTCATTTCATTTGATCACCTGGTTGTTAAATGTACAGAATGTAATTTAATTATTATTATTTTTATTTACAGTATATATAATATGTATAATAATGATTATAACTGTTATACTAATCTTTATATGTAATAATAATTAGGTCCACAGAATGAATGTAGTAAAAGAAGTGAAGCAGTCAGTAAGCAAAATGCTCAAAAGGTTTGTNTTTCAAATTAAATTTCTATATTTTTTTTAAAAAAAAGGAAAAAATGTATAGAATTTTTCCTTAAATAATATTTGCTTCCAATGCATTTACGAATGTCTTTTTTGAAATATTTTTATCCTCGAGCCATGTTTTTCTTATCGAAATGTCACCCAAAAGTCGCACCTTAAAGATGTTTAGCTTTTGAAAATGGCGTGCGATGTGCCACTTTCAAAACCAATGTTCTCAGTTTTATTCCAACGATAAAGTTATATTTTATATTTCCAAAAATTCTTAAACATATATTTATATCTTTACAGCTTAATATAAATTTTTAAATACAACAAAATTTATATAGTTTTTTATATTCTTATACTTTTAAATAATTAAATAAATAAATTACCTAGAAGTACTGCTTATTTAACATTATAAACTTATTATAAACTTCGAATAAACTGGAATCTTTAATCTGTTATTCCTCATACCTTAACGTGTAAGTGGATTGTGGTCTAAGTCATAATTACAGACTGATAAGACAGTATAGCATGTAATCTGCTTGCTGTAAATGAATGGAGATTATTGTCCTTGTACTACACATAACAGGAATTAAAATATTATCGAAACTTTGTTAATAAATTAATTGTTAACTATCGACTTATTATCACTAGTAATTAATTAATATAGATTTAAAATTGTAATTTGTCTTTAAAAAAATACGCATATCGGTCGTTACGTTTAATCTCCCAATAGTTATGTATACGTTTGAATTAATGAATGTTGTTGACGCTATGGATTAAGTAGAGTGAATTTTTATCGTTGCGGTTATTCATGCATAAAGAGTGCTCTCTATCTTCTTGCTGAACGATGTTTATGGAACTCATAATTTACATTTCTCTACAATATAAAATATGTTGGCAAGAGAAACATTCTAACGCATTGATGTGAATTCGCTAGCCATGTTCGTGTTTTATTCCGATTATGTTAGCAGAGTGGTAATAAAAGAGAAAATGGTTTGTTTCTATAATTCAAAAAAGAAAAAGAAAAGGAAAATTTAATCACATCTGAAAAAGAAAAGTATATATATATTTTTTGAATGCTGCTCTTTGCGCTTTTTCTAAATTTAATTTTCGTTGTAATGTGGAAATTCGTATTAAAAAAAACTGGAGAGGATTTATACAAGTCACTCTTTGTATTTTTATTCATTGTTTTTCATTTTTTAATGTCAGGTAGTAGTGACTTTTATGTTGGGTGTGGATGTTCTTCGTAAATAAGTTTATAGGGAGACGTCTACATTAAGAGAAATGAAGACAGTAAAACAACATATTAAAGAAAATATACAAAATGAACATTTTAGTAATGCGATTAAAAAATTAACTAGGAAATTTTAATATAATTTTATTTAAAAAAACGAAAGCAAAATGTAAATAAATTAGTAATTAAATTAAAACAAAAGAGCATGCGATATGCAGAATTAACATTATAAATGAAGAATAAATAATAAATTAGCGTGAACATATGTTTCTGTGGCATATTTGTTTAATTGCTGATGTGCTATCACGCTATTTTAATTAGAATTAACGTCGCACATGAGCAAACTAAATGACATTAAGTCTGTAAAAGAACGAAGATTATGATATAAGAAAATTAATATAATTCGCATTTCTAATATTCATCGTACTATTAAAATATGAAAAATGACAAAATTTGTCTGCAACATTTATGACCAAAACAGTAAAATTAAAAGGGAAAACATTAAATATGAATTAAATGTAATTGTTTGTTCTAAGACTCAACATCATTCAACTTTTTTAAGTATACATTTAAGCTTCTTCCTTATTTATTTTTTCTTTTAATTTAGGATTCACCTGTAAATAAAAAACTGAAAACTTTAAATAAGCTTCCTATAACAAGAGGATTGAGTAAAGGACCACCACCAGAGCTTTCTAAGAAACCTCTCTTTCCTCCTCTTAACAAACAAAGTGAACTTAAAGCTACTTGTTCCAAGTCTTCAAACTTGAAGAAGTTGGATGAGAAACAATCTGAACTTTCTTCAGAATCAACAGACGAAGGCAACCAAGAGGAATGCAAAATACAATGAATTGATTGATGAATTATTGATTGTTTTTTGTTTTGTTTTGAATGTGAACATTATTCATTTGTACAGTTCTTTTAATATATTCTTCTGTCGTGTTTATTTTCATTTAAATAAAGGTTTGTTTATTTTGTCCTTTTTTTTTTTGTTGACTCAAATGTACTTATATTTACAATATAAACATAGGCAGAATACAATTTATATGTATAAAGAAAGAAAACATTAATTTCCAAAGAAAACAGGATTTTAATATTCTACAAATTTTTTCAATGGCAAATAATCCTAAGAAAATCATGTAGGACTACTTTTTTAGTAATGAAAAAAAATAGATCAGTAATGAATAATAGCATGCACCTTATAAAACAGAATCACGAAATTTTAGCACAGGATTTAAAGTAAAACTAGTATATAACCTGTATATCTAAATCCAACATTAAAAAAGATTTTCTCCTATTTATTACCAATTTATACTTCAGTTATATCTACTCTATGTATATAAAATGCTTAACCTAAAATTATCACATTTTTTTGTCATGGAAAAACAAAATACAAACAGCAGCACTTTGGAATCAATGAATTGTTGTGAAATTTTTTAACAAGTGAACAAAGTGAATGGAGATGGGATGTAGGGCTAAGAGAATGAAGTGAGGGTGTTGAATCATTGTGAAATATTTATTATGAATAGTCTATACTGGAAATAAATTGGCAACCTGTATGATAAGTGAGAAAAGTTAACTATGGTATTGGAATATTTTTATCCTGGAACATTCAAAAAATCCTGATGTTTGACCAGTTTGAAAAAAAAAAAATAATTTTTGTTCTGGAATTTGAAGGTTCTATGTTTGATCTTGATGAGGAAAATCTGGAAAGTTTGTTTATTTTATATGATTGAATAAAAACTGAGTGTTTTTAATTAATTTTGAGTGTGGAGGTACATTTTAAAATGGATCCAAGCTGAATTTATGTTACAGAATCCTCATTTGGAATCAGACAGATGAAAGCATATATATTAAAATTTTTTTAATGAATAATCTATATTTAGAACAAGTGGGCAAAGTGAGCAGGGAGTTGGGCTGCTGTAGGCAGCCATGGAGGCAAAGCACCTATTATTTTAAGATTAAGAACTTGCTTTTCACTTAAAAGCAATATCAATCAATTGCAGATTTTGTTGTTACTTGAAAATTTTTTATCCATCCCATTTTGGTAGTCACAGATCCAGCATAAAGTCCACTGAATAAAAGTCTATAAACAATATTCTCTGAATGAAAGTGTATTTACTACCAATTTACCACCCAAGAAGTAAGATTAAATATGTACTAGATATTCACATTACCTCATTTTTAGTTTATTCTCAAATTATATATTTTTGCAATTGTGATGGTTGAACCATAAAAGTGAAATTTTTACAATAATGTTATTGAAGCTTGCTATTACATCTTCAGAATTGTAAAATTTTAGATATGATTTCATCAAGAACAAGTAAAATAGAAATGACACATTAAAATTAATTGAGATGTATTTAAAATATTTCATAGAAGTTCATAAAACATGGATTGGTTTAATAAGTCATAACATACTAATGTTGTATGATTTGGCCTTAGTTTTATCTCTTGTGGATGGACTGATTTTCAATAGAGAGAAATAAAGAATGAAATCCATAATTCAAATTATCTGTAAGATTTCATTTTATATTTTGAAATTTTTACAATAGCAGGAGTTAGCTATTGTAAAAAATCAAAATTTCTTACTTTACCTTGGATGTCTGGATNTGTAATTGATAAATTATTCATTTATATTTGATTTATAAATTGATAAATTTCTTTCATATCTATAATTATATGTTGCTAGCTGGCTGAGATGGCAAATGTGTCTGATATCCATCCCAAGTCAAAATTTACGAATTTTTTGTGGCAATTTGTTTGACTCAGATGTGTTGAACACCTCTTTGTCATTATCTAGCCATTTTATTGAGGTCCAAGTGTATCCATAATATATAAGATTAGGATAGTCCATGTGGTCTGTAATGTACTGGCACCTTGCATTGATTCAATTAATTAATTCATTATAATGAAAAATGACATTAAAATAATCTGAAATCTGAGTTATATGCATTTTTTTAAACACTAAGAAATACTTTGATAATAGAAAAGATAGGGGTTTAGAATTTTCTATTGTTTTGACTTTTATTTATTATGTTTTTAATTATTTTTAGCTTGAATTAGAAGAAAAAAATAAATCTCTTGAGACTGAACTTTTGTCTCTCCAGTCTTCTTTCCAGCAAATAGAAAAAGAGTTGCATGAATTTAAGAAAACTGATGATTCTAATCTAAATGAAATGATTCAAGTAAGGATATTTTTTCTTCCTCGATTTTTTGAAATAAAATAAAATAATTATAAATTTTTAATGTAAAATATGTTGATGTAGAACATGACAGCTCAATTAAAAGACACTTCTAAAGAATTGCAAGATAAAGAAACTGAATTATCTCAGGTTAGATTGAATTATTGTAAATCATTACAAGAAGTGGACATTTTGTATGAAAAGTATGACTGGTTAAAATTAAAATTAAATATGTGTGAAGAAGATTTAAAAGAAGAAAAGAAAAAAAATACTCAAAATATTGATCAAGAAGATAATTTGTTAGAACGGGATAATTACCTTAATGAAGAAGAGGAAAGTGATCTAGAAGAGGAATTGCAACTTTCTTCTAAAAGTTGTAAATCTAAGAGTAGAACTCCAGAATCAAAGAGTGATTTAAAAAGAAAAATCACACCCAAGAAGAATGTTACCCCAGCAAAATCACCCCAGCAAAAAGTCAGTAGTGAAAATGTGTCCCCTTCAATGAATTTGAAGACAGAGAAGTTAAAATGTTCATATTTTCCTCCAGTGAAACATTCTCAGCCTATAGCTGAAGAAAAGAAAATGAATACTTCTAGTAAGTATAATAAAGTAAAAAAATAATAATATATTATAAAGAATTATAATATCATGTAAAACAGAGTAATGCTTTCTTTATCCAGTTTAGTTTTAATTTAGTCAAGAACATTTGTAAAATTAAGTGACAGAAACAAACAAAATTGTACTTTCAGTTCTTACTTTCAAAAACCCAAATGTGTGCATACACTTACACATTTGCACACAAATATCATTTTTCCTTGTGTATATACACTACTTAAACAGATTGTGTTTATACATATTATGTTTATTATCATGTAAATAGGGATTATATTGAATATATTCAATATAATCCCTATTTACATGTTAATAAATATATAATAGGGATATTATATATTTATTATCATATAATAATATAATCCCTATTATTTGATTTCTGCATTTCTCTTCTACACTAGTTACATTATTTGCTGCTATTATGCCTATAGAAACACATCATTTAACTAGTGACATTGATATCACCACAAAAGACTTTGCCTATTGGCTGGATACTGACAGAAATGTTTTTAGTACATAAAAAGTAGAAAATTCTGTTCAATTTTAAGTTTTAAAAAAATGTTATGCTCATTCTTAGTTATACCATTTTATGCATGTTTGTTCCTGGCATTAAGAGAGAGTGTGTTTTTCTAGTTCGTTCCTGTGATTCTCTTGTTAAATCTCCAAAACTCGTTGCACATTCAATTATATCTTACATAATTTTAAGCTCAACAAAAACTAGTTTAAAAATTTAGTATTATTTGAAAACTATTGATTTACAATATAAAAGAAACAACTTAATAGTAATGTTTACAATATAATTTCTTATACCATTTATTATATTATAAACTAATATGTATTTCAATGTTATTAATCATTGTTTGCTTAGTAATGTTAACTATGATACTCATGTGATAGTGAACATGATTTTGTTAATAACACTTAAAATATATTAATTTTATAAATGAATATCTTTGTGATAATGTGAAACATTATCAGACATCATCATTCATTCCATTAATGTTTTTGTTTGAACACCAACTACAGTATACATCTTTAAATTAATACAACCGATAGAAATATGAAAATGCATCATACATAGTAAATTTAGACAAATAATCTGCAGATCTTTAAAAATTTTAAATATTATAGGTGCATTTTTTTAGATTTTTAATCTATATATATAAAATTGCTTGTCCTGACTGACTGACTCACTGACTGATTCATCATTGCCCAGAGCAAACTGCTGGACCTAGAGAGGTGAAATTTGGTACACAGTTAGGGTACGTCATGAAAACGCACACTAAGAAGGGATTTTTCAAAATTCCCAAGTGGGGGGAGAGGGAGAGCATTAAGTGTTAACTGTAAAAATGGTTTTTACTGTACCATTTTAAATGCAATTTTTTTCTTTTTATATGCGTTTTAGTAGGGAGTGTCATGGAAATTCACATTAAGAAAGGATTTTTCAAAATTTCCCCGCGGGGGGAGAGGTAGAGCATTAAGGCTTAACCAGAAAATGGCTTCTACTGTACTATTTTAGATATGATTTTTTGTTTTCAATTACGTTTAGTCTTCATTGAGTACTTAGGTGTATTAAATTGATAACATTTCAGACATTGTTATAAATATTTTTATCTATTTCGATTTTAATTAAAAATGTTCGATCCGTTTTAAATTCAAATTTGTTATTGCATATTGGTTCGATTATAGAACGATTGTAAACATTCCAGAAAATTGATGAAATTGAAGATAGTTTGTTTGATTCTCGGCAATTCTCTTCAGCGGTAGGTGTTATATGACAATTACTATGGTTATTGAAATATTGAATGTAAATGGGGTTTGCTTGCAAAACCTCCGCGGACGAAGTTGCGGGTAACAGCTAGTACTTCATATAGATGAGAAAGATTAAGATTGCTATTAATGAAATTGAAAGATATTTAGCATTAACTGATATTTAGCAGATATTAAATTATCTGCTAAATATCAGTTAGAATAATTTGCTATATATTGGGTCTAATGTTATATAGTTGTACATGTTAATTGAACTGTATTTTTTTTACAAGCCATGAGAATTTTAGGTAATAATAGAATTAGACAAATTAAAATTAATCACTAATCCCTAACAAGCAAAATCTTAGCTTCTCATTCAGCTATAAAAATATATAAGGAAAATATACTTTTTGTTATAATTTTAGTTACTTGTTTAACCCTTTATTTTTTACGATTATATTAAATTATTAAGAGTTTAAAAAGTAATGTAAAAAAACTTTAATTTGATAAAATAGAGTATAATGATGAAATATACTCTCACAATGGATCTTTTCTAATAGGCAACAGATAGAGTTTGAGATTTTGTCCTCTCTCTCTCTCAATGAACTTCGATAACAATTGTATATTAGTAAAACATAGCTCTCTTCTCTTTTCAACATCTCATGAGTTCAAGAGTAGGAATATTTTATGAAATAAATGTTTTAAAATACATCAGTATTTTTAATTAAAATGTAATGAGTTAATTGTATATTTTACTAATGTTATGTTTCATTTTATATTACAATGACACATTGAATTTCCAATTCATATTTCAGCAAAGTTTTTAGATAGATTTTATTTAAATATTTTGAAATCTAAATGTAAGTTAACTATATAGACTTACAGTTTGTGATTATTACAAAAATTATTAAATTTTTAAATTGATATATTATTTTTATATTGTTTCAGAGATAAATACTAGAACATCAAAGAGAACTCAAATACAACCTCCTGTGGAGAAACGTACATATAACAAAATAAAAGATAGCTGTTCAGATGATAAAGAAACTAAAGAAAATAAATGTAAATTATTATTATTACTATTATTATAAGTGTGAAAATAAATTTATGAATTTATAGTTTATAATACATTGTTCCTATATTAAATTTTTTGCTATTGCTGTGCTTGCAATTTCTAGAAAATTTTTCTTGCAATTTTTTAAAAAAATTGCAAGAAAAAATTGTACTAAAAAGCATTTTTTAGTGCACTTATACATAATCATGTTCAAAGTTAGCATTCATATACTGTACCTTGAATTCATTAACTCTTGATCAAACTTATAAAAATACCCAAGAAAGGCTTTGTTTATCATAAGTTCAGTTTTACCATTTTACAACTTATTTAATTTTTCAGTTTTGATATTTGATTCTTTTAAAAGTGATAAAGGAATAAAGTATTTAAGAATATCAATGAAAAGGGAAAAAAAAAACAAAATATATAAAATTTGCAAAATCTTCAATAAATGTAGAAAGATTGAGATTTAACACATTGATGACCAGATGACTAAAGCAGTAAAGATATTAGCCTGTTGCTACATGAGAACCTGATCTAGAACCTCTGGAATCTTTCTTTAATGGTATGTCTTGGATACATTGGAATCTGTCCCTCACCATCATGATTTGACTGAATGTATAATGGACATGGTAAAATGGCCTTTTTAGTACTGGCAGGGTAAAAAGAGATTTAAAAAGTCATGTAATGATTATAAGTATTTATATAAAGATTTTGTTAACAAATGCTTTCAAATAAAATATAAACAGATTTAAAAACTTGTCAAATTTTTCCTGTTACTTTTTAATATGTAAATTAATATAAAGATAAATTTTAAACTTTTAATTATATATTAGTATCTATGCTGGTGTCATTCCATTTATTTTGTCTCTGTAGATCTTTAAAATGATTATCATCAAAAAATTTTATTAAATTTAGGAACAAACACAGCTTTAACCAGTCTAACACTTAAAAATTATACAACTTAGCAATAAAACTTACAAGAAATCAAAATAAATATGGCAGGTACTTTTTGTTTTAATTAATTTAGGATGCAGTTTAAATAAAAATACCAGCATTTCAACCATATCTATGGATAATCAAAATAAGATGCATTTATTGTATATAGTTTTATTTCTTATAAGTTCTATTACTAAACTGTGTAATTTTTAAGCATTAGACTAGTTGAAACTATTGCTCATTTCCAAATTTTGACAAAAAAAAAAATATATCCCCATACAGTATAACACAGTAGTTAGGTTTCAAAATTATTAATAAGGTTTGCTATACAAATCTATGCTATATGAAACAAAGGATTAGTATAAAATATAGGGTTAGGGTTAGGTACAAAATTAGTAAAAATATACTATTCTGTTTTGTAATTAAGAGAAATATGTTTATTAAAGCAATCAATAAATAACTAACAATCACAATCAAATGTATTGCATGCTAATAATTTTTTTTCTTCACTGCTAAACACTGTTAAACAAGGACATTTTCTTTTTGACAAAATATCATCATCTGAGTTTTCCTGTTGACCTTAGTCTGAAGTATTGGCTACATCTTGATTTTTTTCGCTACATTTTTTCATAAAATCTGATATTTTTATTTACATGTATTTACCTAATAAAACTTTAAAACTTAAATTTTTTTATGTATTAACTTTTGATTTTATCATAAAAATAAAACACAGCAGTCTTTTGAGTTCATTTAGAGCACTATCACCATTGACAGCAATACCTGGTTCATGGGAAGCTAGGACAAAGAAGAAGAAAAATTGTACAATTAGTTCTCATTAAAGAAAACTACACAAAAAGCATGAAACAACAGTAAAATTTCAATATTCTAAAATTTGTGGACAAATATGTCATATGATACAACACGCATGCTTGCTTGAATAAAATATATAAAAAATATCGAATAACTGTGTTTGCACTTAAAAATTGTGATGTTTTGTATGGAGATTTTCCCCAATTCTTGAGCTTTGTGAGATCAAAATCATGTTGCAGGTGTGCTGTGTTATGTGAGGGATACTTGTATTGTTATAATCTGGATACATGAATTTTTCAACTAAATAAACTAGATGATCAAATGAAAGGAAGACTTGCAAAAAATAGCATGAGGAGTTTGATAATATTGTGTGTCAGTTACTTTGCTGACTTATTTGTCAAAGCATAGTGTTAACCCATATTATTTAACATTTATTTAATTAAATTAAATGCTGCAATAATTGGATACGCCGTATGTACTAACAGGAATCTTTTATTATGGAAAGTTACATAAAGAAAAAGCGTTATTAAAGTGACAGTTTATGTGAAAATATTCCAAATCATTTGTGCTGATAAAAGTTTTTAATAAATGGTGGTCAGTGGAACTTGAGTGTAAGAAAGACTTGTTGTAAACAAAAAGTTTTTGAAAAAAAGACGTTTGGATATATTATGAAACAAGTCCCACAAAATCTTTAATATTTATCTCAACAGATAGGATTATCTTATGAATCTGTTTATAAAACTATGAAAAGAATCAAATTTAGGCCTAATAAATTAAGGATTGTCTTTGAATTTAGCTTTTTTTAATTTACAGTTTTAAACGTTGCCTCTCAAGTCAAAAGTAAATAAATAAATATTCAAAATTTGAGTGTTTCTTGTGGTGCTTAGCAGAGCAGTAATAAGCATGACCAGCTTACCAAGTCTGTCTGACTCATGACTTGTGGTGTATCTTGCAAATCCTCATTTCATTTGATCACCTGGTTGTTAAATGTACAGAATGTAATTTAATTATTATTATTTTTATTTACAGTATATATAATATGTATAATAATGATTATAACTGTTATACTAATCTTTATATGTAATAATAATTAGGTCCACAGAATGAATGTAGTAAAAGAAGTGAAGCAGTCAGTAAGCAAAATGCTCAAAAGGTTTGTTTATTTTGTCCTTTTTTTTTTTGTTGACTCAAATGTACTTATATTTACAATATAAACATAGGCAGAATACAATTTATATGTATAAAGAAAGAAAACATTAATTTCCAAAGAAAACAGGATTTTAATATTCTACAAATTTTTTCAATGGCAAATAATCCTAAGAAAATCATGTAGGACTACTTTTTTAGTAATGAAAAAAAATAGATCAGTAATGAATAATAGCATGCACCTTATAAAACAGAATCACGAAATTTTAGCACAGGATTTAAAGTAAAACTAGTATATAACCTGTATATCTAAATCCAACATTAAAAAAGATTTTCTCCTATTTATTACCAATTTATACTTCAGTTATATCTACTCTATGTATATAAAATGCTTAACCTAAAATTATCACATTTTTTTGTCATGGAAAAACAAAATACAAACAGCAGCACTTTGGAATCAATGAATTGTTGTGAAATTTTTTAACAAGTGAACAAAGTGAATGGAGATGGGATGTAGGGCTAAGAGAATGAAGTGAGGGTGTTGAATCATTGTGAAATATTTATTATGAATAGTCTATACTGGAAATAAATTGGCAACCTGTATGATAAGTGAGAAAAGTTAACTATGGTATTGGAATATTTTTATCCTGGAACATTCAAAAAATCCTGATGTTTGACCAGTTTGAAAAAAAAAAAATAATTTTTGTTCTGGAATTTGAAGGTTCTATGTTTGATCTTGATGAGGAAAATCTGGAAAGTTTGTTTATTTTATATGATTGAATAAAAACTGAGTGTTTTTAATTAATTTTGAGTGTGGAGGTACATTTTAAAATGGATCCAAGCTGAATTTATGTTACAGAATCCTCATTTGGAATCAGACAGATGAAAGCATATATATTAAAATTTTTTTAATGAATAATCTATATTTAGAACAAGTGGGCAAAGTGAGCAGGGAGTTGGGCTGCTGTAGGCAGCCATGGAGGCAAAGCACCTATTATTTTAAGATTAAGAACTTGCTTTTCACTTAAAAGCAATATCAATCAATTGCAGATTTTGTTGTTACTTGAAAATTTTTTATCCATCCCATTTTGGTAGTCACAGATCCAGCATAAAGTCCACTGAATAAAAGTCTATAAACAATATTCTCTGAATGAAAGTGTATTTACTACCAATTTACCACCCAAGAAGTAAGATTAAATATGTACTAGATATTCACATTACCTCATTTTTAGTTTATTCTCAAATTATATATTTTTGCAATTGTGATGGTTGAACCATAAAAGTGAAATTTTTACAATAATGTTATTGAAGCTTGCTATTACATCTTCAGAATTGTAAAATTTTAGATATGATTTCATCAAGAACAAGTAAAATAGAAATGACACATTAAAATTAATTGAGATGTATTTAAAATATTTCATAGAAGTTCATAAAACATGGATTGGTTTAATAAGTCATAACATACTAATGTTGTATGATTTGGCCTTAGTTTTATCTCTTGTGGATGGACTGATTTTCAATAGAGAGAAATAAAGAATGAAATCCATAATTCAAATTATCTGTAAGATTTCATTTTATATTTTGAAATTTTTACAATAGCAGGAGTTAGCTATTGTAAAAAATCAAAATTTCTTACTTTACCTTGGATGTCTGGATGATTTTCTGGAAAGAGGAACTATATTTTTAAAATTTTTAATTCAGAATTCTGTAAATAAAAAGTCTAAAACTTCAAACTTCATTGAAAAACAAAATATAATGAATTCTGTTTGCATCAGTAATTAAGTTTTCTCTAAATATATAAATTTTATCCTTATCATAGATTTGATATGAATAATAAACTTGATAAGAAAGTTCCTTAAATATGAATCCAATTCAAAATTTTTTTTTTTTGGTAAAAAGTTTTTAGAAATCAAAGCACTTTTTTGGTTATATAACTGTCATCAGGAGTCAACAAGAGATGCCAAACTAATAGCATCTCTTAATCTTTATTTCTCTTGTTGAGTCCTGATAAAAATGTAAAATTGATTTTGATATGCTTATTAATCTGTAGTTATGGAGACTAAGGAAATGAGAACTCATAAATCAGTAAACTTTATTAAAATGTTTAAAAGAAAAAAATATTTATCAATTAATAGAACTATTGGGTGGATTTTGTAAAGCAGTGTTCTCAGTCAATCAGCCAAAGAGATTTGATTGAGAATATTTAAATGTTTATTTTGTTTTGGTTCAATCATTCAAAATGCAATAGTTTTTGAATGTTTTGAGACATTAATTTTTTTGTGTTTTGTGTTCACTGGGTTTTAATTTCTTATAATGGTTATTGTTTGTTTTTTTTATTAGTTTAATTAATACATTTTTATTTTTATTTTTGTCTGAAAAAAATCATTAGCTGTTATTTGCACTGCATAATTACATATAATCTGTTTATATCTGTATATATTTGTAAAGTTATATGTAATAATAATTAGGTCCACAGAATGAATGTAGTAAAAGAAGTGAAGCAGTCAGTAAGCAAAATGCTCAAAAGGTCAAAAGGTTTGTTTATTTTGTCCTTTTTTTTTTTGTTGACTCAAATGTACTTATATTTACAATATAAACATAGGCAGAATACAATTTATATGTATAAAGNTTCGGAAACTCTGGAAACAGAAGGGTGTTATTCTCATAGTATTACGTAATTCTTTTCCTAGGGATCTAGGTAGTAGGGTCTAGTGAATGGCATTGCGGTATCACCATCACTAAGACATCTCGAACACGTGTGCAAGTTCTATTTTTGCGTCTCTTACGTAATCTGTTTATATCTGTATATATTTGTAAAGTATATGTAAATCAATATTTTCCAACCTTTACTGACTTATTTCTAACAGACAGAACTCATTACATTGTCAAGGATATTACTTTCATTTTTCATGGCTATATAACTTGTGAAAGAAACTGAGTCACAGAACCTGTTTCATACTTTTGAATGGTAAAATATAAAAAAGTTTCATATTTGTTTTAATTTAAAAAGAAATTTTGATCAGTTGAAATATAGTTTTTTCTTGCACACATATACATTTTGTGATAGAAGTCGCAATCTGATTGGAAAAAATTGATTTAAATTAATATCATTTTTACTTATAATACAGTACTTATACAGTAACTTTTTTAAAGTTATAATTATTAGTTCTGAAATTACCTTAAAAACTATTTATTTTTTCTTTTAATTTAGGATTCACCTGTAAATAAAAAACTGAAAACTTTAAATAAGCTTCCTATAACAAGAGGATTGAGTAAAGGACCACCACCAGAGCTTTCTAAGAAACCTCTCTTTCCTCCTCTTAACAAACAAAGTGAACTTAAAGCTACTTGTTCCAAGTCTTCAAACTTGAAGAAGTTGGATGAGAAACAATCTGAACTTTCTTCAGAATCAACAGACGAAGGCAACCAAGAGGAATGCAAAATACAATGAATTGATTGATGAATTATTGTTTTTTGTTTTGTTTTGAATGTGAACATTATTCATTTGTACAGTTCTTTTAATATATTCTTCTGTCATGTTTATTTTCATTTAAATAGTTCATTTTATCGTAATATTAGAAAAAAGAATAAATATAATATTCATTCCTATATATACCAATGATGAAAAAATCATTTCATTTCTTATCTATTTATTCCAAAGTAACAATATAGCAATTAAACAGTATTAGTAAAAAATTTTATCACAGGATTTTTATGTTATATATATATATTCATTATAATACTTATAATGAATTTGTTACAATATTATAATTAATTAATATATGTATATATATTAATTAATTACAGATTTTACAGTATTTATTTTCTTTCTTGTTTCTTCATACTTTATTGAGTTTGACCAGTTTAATAGACTGTGCATTAGAATATAAGTATTTATAATACTATGTTATAAAATATAATCTAAATATTATTCTTGGGATTGAAAGTCGGAAACTCTTTTGACAGTACTTGAGAAGATTTGGTTCTCTAATCATTCTTCTGAAAGTAGTTAATGTGGTAATGTGTCAGGATAGTGTCATAATGTTGTCATATTACTGTGTTCCATCATCTCTGCATAATAGTGTGTATATTTAATTTTCTGTATATATTATAATAATGTATAATTATCAATATTATATGTACTTTTGAAAACATGATAAATATTCTATTGATAATTATTGACTTATGACCAGTCTGCAGAGTTTTCAGAAAAGAAAACATAATACTGTATTAAACAATTTTTTCCCCAGAAACTGCAGATCAGCAGACCATGGCTCACAGGTTGCCACTAATTAGTACACTGATTATTTATAACTTTTAAAATTTGATTTATAATATTAGGTTGATATAGAAATGTTTTAAATCTCATCACTGACTGAAATGCAGTTAAGATATTTGATATTTTGTAATGGATATGTTGTGATATTTGTCTGAATGCAGATATGCCACTTAATTTGATTAAAATGTTAAAATGAATATATCACAATTGATTTAGGATTTTTATAATAATAAATTATAATTTTATGATATACTATATCATGATATTGATATGAAAGTAGTATTGATTTTTGTACCAAATTAAAAGGTTAGTTTTTCTAAATTTTTATTTAACTGAAATATAATCTTAATCAGTTGATAAAAAGTTTTACTAAAAGAAAACTTTGATAGCAATCTTACACAAAAATTATAATTTAAAATTAATTAAACAGACTTCTGATCCTAAGGCTCAGCAGTTGTCTGTTGATCAATGAATCAGCAGAATCGCTTCTAAAAATCAATGAAAACTTACAAAAATCTTATTTGGTAATTATGGAATGTATGAGACTGGTTTAGTTTTGGTTCTGGATCCAGATTTTCAAAGTTTTAGGAAGTCACTTTCTAAAATTTCCCTAATACACTGATATAAGTAGAAAAATATAATTTGAGTTTTTTGATATGATGCAAGTAATTAGAATTAATTTATAAATTCATATACCATTAAATGAAAAATCAATTTGCAATCTTCCACAATAATAATGGAGACGACTTCATTAGTCTACCTATGCAAAAAAAAATAGTTTCTTATAATCACCAAATAGAAAGAATATAAGGTATATAGAAATTAAGAAAATTGTGTTTAAACTTAGAAATTTCAAATGCCTATAGATTATAACATATTTGAGATTATAAAATAGAAAATTCAATTTTTGAAAAATAACTTGGAAAAACCTTTTTCCAAGTTATTTTTCAAAAATTCCAACATTACATTTTATTATTAGTTAGTTACTAGGGCAGAGTGATACATTTAAGATTAGTATATCTGCTCCATTCTTGTATTAGGAAACACTAGCATATAAGATTATTGAAAACTAAAATGTCTAGTAAAACAGTATGGTAATGCAGTTTAGTCTTTGTTAATAATTAGGTAACTAAATTAATGCTAGGCATTTATTCATTCAAATATATTATATATACAAAATATTTAAAGTTTTGACAGGCTGGTTGATGGTTGAGACAACTGGATGGCTGGAGTGTTAGCTTATTATTCTTGTAAACCCAGGACCAAATCCGAATGGGCAAAGAACTGCAGGAATTTCCTGGGTGTTCTGTACCAGATATTGGATTGGATTGATGAGAAAAGGGTATCAAATGTCGGATTGGATTTTTGATAAAATAATAGGAAATAATTTATTTCGAAAAGTTGCTGTTTATCTACGTTAGTGATCACTAAAGAGGTGCGTAAAATGCCAGAATATCTGGGATCTGTCGATATTAAGTGTAAAATACAATGCTGGATTGCTCAACTCAGACTCATGCCTAGAGGCCCTGAAGTTAAAAAAAATCAATTTTACTAATACAATTGTATAGTGCATTTAGAGGCTGAGCGGTCGAGATGGCTGGGGGACCCTGGATCGAATCCTAATGAGTCGAAAAGTCCCCAGGAATTTTTGGGGGGTGGTGTGTCAGGATATGTCAGGCCGAATCCTAAATTGGCTTGAGAAGAGGCTCTCTTAGTGCCCACAGGGCGAAAAGAGTTTTTTTTAAATGCAATTGTATATCATAATTTATTAATAATTCTAAAGCTACAACTAGACATAGTTAGTTCATGATATAAAAATTATGTAGAAGAGTCTCCAATCTGTATATAAGGCCCTCGGAAGGTTTTAAACTACCACTGGTAAAGCGAGTTCATAATCTTAAAATACAATTAATAAAATAATTGAATAAACTTTGATAGGCTAATATTTAGGTGCGTGCTATTTTTCTTAACTGATTGGCAAACTCTTAATCGGACTTACCCTATCTCTGCTGTAGATTATTACTTTACTAACCTATATTATTTACTTTATAAAATTTAAGAGAAATTGCATATTGTTAGGACTAGTTTAAATTCTTAGCCATTATATAACAATTTACATTAGTTTTCGACGTTAGGGCATTACCGAAAATTGTAGGAAAGTTACATAAAAATACATCATCATAAGCTTGAAATAAATAAAAGATGGTAATGGGGTAATTGGCAGTTGATAATTAGTGATTGTGTTTAATGGTTAAAATCATGTTCCGTAATACTGATTACCGCGAAGAAGAAAAAATGTTAATATAAGCAGTAGGCCTAATAATTACCGTAATCACTATTTGCCGAAATGAAGACTGCACGTTTCATGATGTAATTTGAAAAATAGGTTAAATATAATTACAACACTGCTTGTAATAATTTTGCGACATTAAACGTGCGAAAATTTATAAGAAATAATTGCCATATAGGTTAATCTATGGAATGAATGTTTTAGGCTATATTAGTATACAGTTGAATATTTAGATAGCACTCAATATTTGGCCAAGTTATAGTAGGAATTTCACTTATGACTAGATATGCTAATGACATTTATCTCAAAATAATTTGTTTGCAAGAATATCTTTTTTGTCCGAGTCTAAGATTTGCAGCCCAAAAGCATAGAAATTATGACTGTTTTCTAGCTTGTACCCATGGTGGCTAACTCATTGTGATTCAAACTCATTTATAATTATGATTAATGATTTAATGTGTTGGTGTCTCACGTGAACGGGACGAAAAGATTAATCTTGCACCTTGAAAATGCATCCGTTCATTATTACTAAAAGAAATATAATTTCCAAGTACAATTTTTTTATTATTATCCGCCCTGTTGGCTCAAAAAGAGTATTTTTCATATCTGCTACGGATTTAGTCCCATAATGGTTAACTGAGTGTAAAGAAATAGGGCCAACATGTCCTAGTCGATTGTCACACGAGAAAATTTTTGAGGATTCGAATTTCTTTTAACTGTCCGCCCTGTGGTCACTAAGATGGCCGTTTTACATACCCATCGTGGGTTCGGCCAGATCCACAATGTGGAACGGATGATTAGGGACTGGGCCTAACATATCCATACGAAAAACCCTAAAAAATTCCTGGGGTTTTTCGACCATCCGGATTTGATCCCGCGTTTCCCATAGCTGTTACCATCATCCAGAAACCTGTTCTGAGATCGTCAGGATGAAGTTTTTACTCTTGGCCCAACGGGACTTCGAAAGTTCAAATTCAAGCTGTAAAAAAGTTTTATTGTTTCTTTGTAACTTTTTATAATATTGTCCTCAACACTACAAGAGATATAATATATAGCCTCATTTTGTTATAGTGAGATGATACAGGAGATAGCCTGTACCATAGATTTCATTGTGAAAGAGCGTGACGAGAAACCGAACGAAAAAATTTCAGGAAACATTCGTTCATTTTCAAGTTTATTCTCTTGAAAACTGCAAGAATGAAAGTATCGAACAAGGCAATATTAGTGTGTGTCCTTTAACGGTAGAGAAATTTGGAAACCTATCATTGGACATTTTAATATTTCATCCGTCTCATAGCATTCTTATTAAATTTCATCCATTTTGCAAAATTCTTAACGTGTCTTAAACGTTAGCAGAGGAAAGAAGACATGATCACATCTGACTATCAAGCAGCTAAGTAAGCAAGCAAGCCAATGACAGTTCGTTTCATATAAAGCAGACTCATTGGTTTGCTTGCATACCGTTTGCTGCCACCATCAGACTGCAAAGCTTTTTTTCATTACGTGAAAAATGCACATTTTTTACAGTAAAAAATGTAATGTATCTGCCATTTCCAAAACTTTAAATTAATAGTATACATAAGCGAAGTAGACTTGGAACTCTTGTCTGCAGCGCGCAAAATTAAACTCGATTCCTTACATAGACTATTATACACCACTTGTAATGCTTCTGTATATATAACTGGCATGTGTTCTCCATGAGAAAAGCATTAATATTTGCAAATTACCTTCGCTTATAAATTTATAGGGTGATTTTATCTACAATATGTGTAGTTTTGAATCGTCTTCTAGTGATAAAGTATGAAGTGGTATAAATCGAATTTAGTTCTCATTCTCGCTAAAAGGGTAACGTTACAATGGCCTTCGGAGAACCTAACAAAGAAGATAATTAATTACTACCATTTTACCTTTCTGTATTCAATCAATGTCAGAGGGAAATAAAGACATCAATCTACAGACTGACCTTTATAAATAAATAAAATTAGATGTCAGTAGAGTTAATAACCTTTAACAATTGTCAGCTGCGATCAATCAATTTTGCTCCGAAACTAAATCTAAAGTCAAACTATTTTTATTTTTTGCCAGTTTAAAGAAATTAGAAAAATATTATAATTAAAGTTAATTATTATTTATAAAACTTAATATTCTGTTAACACAAAATAATATAATTAGATGGAAATATGGTTCTTTAAATATCTTATTTCTCAATTATGGAGCGAATGAAGCATTCGGTTTGTCAGTAAGTGCACTTTTACTTTAAATTGACGTCATTCTTACATTTCATTCATGACTCATTTTTTCATAACATGAATGCAATGTCATCGAAATATACATTGTTCTGACCATTAGTCTCTCATTGGGTTGCAATTTGAAAAATTGTAGACCTATAAATTTCCACTGTCATCCTCCTGTCTGTCCTTTTCTAATCTCGAGAATGGTGTTAGATAGATAAAAGTCAAGTCCATATATGGAAAGCTTAAAGAGCTGTATTAGCTGTATACGAACTACCAGTTTGCACCGGAAATTAAGGTATTTCAATTCAAAAACTATCCCCTGAACGGAATTCGATGACTACATTGTTAACAGGAAAAGTATGATGTACAGGGGCAAGACACTACTAAACTTAAGTGCATTGTGACGATGTCACAATAAATAAATGCTTGTATAGAAATGAAGTGTTATCGATTTTTTTTTTCTTTTGTATATACGGATTCACAAATAGACTTAAAAACGCCTGCACATAATTGTTTTTAATTAATGCTCTAAATCAGGGGTGTCCAACCTTTTTGTTTCTCTGGGCCGCATTAGAAGAAGTCAAGGAGTTTTGGGCCACAAGTATATTTTATATATACTTGTGGCCCAATATACAAGTATATTTAAGAATTAACATGTTTAGATTATAATAATAAGTATTAAAACTTTATCACGAAACAGGATATTTTAAAAAATTACTTTTACAGACACTCAATTTTTATTTAGAAATAGATAAATTCATTTATTTGAAAAAACGCAAATATGTGGTTCATTTGAGTTTCTGATTAATAAAAAGCGACGAAACACCATTTTAAAGTGCATTTTTATTTAACTAATATATTTATAAATGATATGTAGCCCAAAAAGTAGCCAAAGCGCCAAATGATATTTTTTTACGTCAAACTAAAAAAGTAGCCACATTTGGCGCAATGTAGCCAAATCTTGCAACGCTGGAAGAAATGCTAAATAAAGTTGGAGTTGTGACTCAAAGGATTATAGAGCCAAATGCGGAAAAAGAAGAGAAAGGACAAAAGATAAAGAAGTGAGAAAGGTTGGAAAATTAAGACTCAATATTTGCCTAACAGAAGAACTATTTAACCTTTCTGACAACTTTTTATCTTTTGTCCTTTCTCTCCTTTCACCAAATTTGGGTCTATAATCCTTTGAGTCACAACTCCAGCTTTATTTAGTAATCCTTCCTCATTCACACATCTCCAAGTACATGAAAATATTTCATTTCCACTCAAAACTGAAATATAAATAAAGGTTTATGGCTTTGTGAAATTTCTTTTCTGAGTTTATGCCGTTGAAATAAATAAATAATAAAAAAATTAAAACATTTGTCGGTTTTGTTTACACGTTTATTGGGCCGCATTGCAACTTGCCTTGGGCCGCGGGTTGGACACCCCTGCTCTAAATGATAAACATTATATAGAACTACAAAATAGCACAGAAAATTACTTGACATCATTTCTTGCATGTGTAAACGTACAATACAATATAGAACTTAACAAGAGAGACCTTCCATGGCCCGTCCTTTCGAAGACAATAGATTTCAGAAACAAATTTACAACCTCTAAGATCTCGAGGTTAAATTATCCCGGATTCGAACTCATTGCCTGTATAAACTACTATCTCGTTGTTTTAATATTAATAATTTGCCAAAAACTAAAATACTGTATTAATTATTTTAGGTTTCGGAAGATTGATTTTAATTAAGTAAGCGATTGGCAGATAGATTTTAAGTAAGTGAACAATCAATCAGATTTCATAAGAAAATAGATTAAAAATTCAAATGCGGCACTTTTAAAAATTTTAGAAGCGTACTTTGTGCTTGTTCATAATATGATATTAAGTAATTTTCCTTTTCGGATGCTGCAATCTCGCTACCCTGATGAAAAGAGGGCCTGTTGCGGGGAATGACTTATTCAACTAAAAAGTAGTCGTTGGTCTCCTCTTGGATGAAAGGATGATGTATGAAAAGTTTCATTGCATTTGCTCAAACTATGTACTGTACAAATGAATAAAGAACAACAATGTAATATATAAAGAAAGTTTATTAAAGTTCTACATTAATTTCTAAAAAAGTCCATTAACATTTTTTTTATCAGTTCACTTTGAAATAATCTTTATAATTTTATAAATTTATGTATATTGCAAGGAATCTTGTATAAGTGGAATAAGAAATTATAAAGATGGTTCAATGAATATCTTGCGTTTACATAAAATTAAACGCATATAACTAAATACTACAGATTTTTATACACAATTTTTCCTCTTTTAATCACATACATAATCAAATTGCTGTGTTCACCAATTTGGTATATTAGATGCTCCCACCTAAAATGAATAAAAATATTCATTTATATTACATAAAATTATATAGGCTATATATATCAACACTTCATAAAATAATACCGGAATGAAAATTGATACCTGTGATGCCTTAAAATTAAGATATCTGCCAATTTTCCTATCTCTATGGAGCCATTTGTATGTGATCTTCCCAGAGCGTAGGCAGAATTGATGGTTGAAGCTACTAACGCTTCTTTAAGTGTCATATTCAAGTTAATACATGCAAGATTCATAGTCAGTGGCTGGGTAGATGAATCGTATAAAAGTTAAAGAATGATTTAGATTTAAATTTGTTAATAATAAATGTATTTACCATGGATAAACAGTATGCATTTGGGTTAAAGTCTGTACCAAGCGCTACGGCGACGCCTCCTTCTATCATTTTCCTTACTGGTGGAGGTTTCAGCTTTAAAACATAAGCAGTAGTTGGTAAAATAATAGCAGTTGTGTCGGATAAAGCCATTGCTTTAACTCCTTCATCACTAATTTCTTCCAAATGGGATATTGCGTGTGCTCCAATGCTTGCACCCATCTGTAGATAGAAGAGATCTATGGGTTTGCAATTTAAATAACAATGTTTTAACATTAAATTTTATTTAATTTTGTTTTTTTAACACATACAACATTTATTTTTTGCACAATCGAGTAGAATTAATTATAAATTAATGCGAATTCCTACACGTTTTCCGGATAATGTTTACAGTTGGGTGCCGAGAACAGTGAACTGCGAGGTCGTGACGCAATCAGCGCATATTTTCACGTTTTCTCGTGACACCTAATGATCCACCCAAAAATATAAATATCTCAAATGATTTCTTGAAGGGGACAAAGGGGAGGAAAAAGAATCATATCTGATTTAGCTGACAGCTATGGCCTCTTATATCGTTCTGTTAAACAGGGAGTTGGCTAAATTGATAGTTGACTCGCACTAGGTAATAGAATACCTGGGAGTTAAAAGTGATGAAGGTTAAAAGTTGCAATCGATTGTAGATAAGTTGTCTCGAGTGATTACAGTCGAATGTTACACGAAATTATCATTTGTGCAAATGATGTCTTCCTCGTATACCAAGAAAGTTCAGGATAAAATTGGTCAGGAAAGTTCTGTTTTGCTTCCGAATAATTACTTTAAAATACTCAAATTATACAGTCGAGTGTACTTAAGAAAAACCGTCGGGATCGCTGGTTCATGCTCATTATCCGAAGTAACAAGATCATCGAAGGGGTTAATAGAACTCTGTTCTCTTTTTTTTTTTTCATGTTTTGAGAGCTCTATATGACTTATAACACGCTTGGAAACGTTAAAATTTATAATCACATACGGTATTTTGGGCTTACATACAGCTTAATTTGGCACTGCGTTGCTGTATCAGTGTAAATATAATGATACAGTAACTAATTATTCAGTGACATCCTTGTAGTAATCACTATTAAAAATAAAAAGCCAAAACAAAAAATTCTTCCGATACTATAAATTTTTTTTAAATAGTGAGTTTTTTAGGTACTTTGCGGAATATAGTGTCAGTTTTGCCCCATTTATATTAAGAGTATGCCCCTGATATACAGTGTGTCCAATAAAATCTGTCTATTATGACTATACGAAATCTTTTTACTGTCTGTGTATTAGAAAACTGGCTTTAAAAAGTCACCAAATCTCCACATAACATGTATAATAACATAGAGAATCTATTGCCATGTGCCTTGGACGGTGATGTACCGTAAGATTAAAGATAGACGTTAAAGATAAATCTTCCTTAGAATAGTGCAACCTTTTGTGGATTGCTGCTGCTCTAAAAATGTGCATTTAAATGGGCTTCTCTATTATCAGATAGGAGTCCTCCTTAATGTAAAACATAGGGAAGAGAATAGGAAACATGAAAAGTGATCTCTTAAGCGTGGTCCTTTATCCGCAGTTCTGTTAATAAAGTGGACTCAACTGTATATTACTTAGGCTATAATGCTTACGCAGTAGAAATTTAGTACTTACTTCAGCGGCTCCCATAGAATTCAATTCATCGCCATGAAAATTTAGTCGAAGACCTATGGAACTCCCTTTTTGAAGGATCTTGCGAGATTGCTGCAAGTCAAAAACACCTTTTTCACAGAAGACATCGATGCTGTCTACGTTTAACTCTCCCTCATCCATTAATTGCTTCAATTTAGGAATTTGATTATTAATAACAGATCGAGTTGCTTCTTCTGCCGTCATACTTCTGCAATGGTATACCCTACATTAATCTATAATTTATATAAAAAAGTAAAATAAATAAAATTATGATACAAATATACCATTATACACCATTAGATAATGTGTTTTTTAATGCTTTAGCAAGTCATTAAATCGAAAACACGATTTTCAAGGATTGATAAAATCTTACACGCAAACATCATTCAAGAATGGAAGATATATAACGCATACCCATATATTCATTTAATTATTCGGTTGAAAAACAATGGATTTTAGTCCAAATTGGCAACTTGCGCTAAGGTGCTTTATACAGATGGGCAAACTAGTTATTTGTAAACAACAATAACGAGTTATTTATCGATATAATATCGACGACTTCTAAACCATCGATAGTCGATGAGAACACCACATACTACGTAACACGCTCCGTAATGCTGGCATAGACATTCTTCCAACCCCCCTTAGTGTTACGTAATTTATGGAAGGCTCCCTATGGTCAGACGTAACCATTGATTAATAAATCGATACCAACTATCGAAAGTTTGGCCGTAGGGAGCCTTCCATAAATTACGTAACACCAAGGGGTGGATCTATAACAGCATTACGTAGGATGGGGTGTTCTTTATACAGCGTTATGTGACTATATAACATATGTGGTTAAGACTTTTTTTATAGGAAAGTACAGAACCCCGTTTCCCAAATAGATACAAATAGGCAAGATTTAGATTTTCGTAAGCAGTGGCATTAAGACATCGTAATTGATTTGAATTTCCTCCTATCTGCGCAGTATAAATTAGCTAACCGACTAAAATTGGTGATCACACTCAATTTTAAGCACTAAAAGTCATATAAGTTATTATTAATATTTACTTATATGATTTTTCTAATGTTCCAGCCTGAAGGCTACTAAGGAACGTACTCTGTTTATGATCAAGTCTTCGTTTCGGAAACTCTGGAAACAGAAGGGTGTTATTCTCATAGTATTACGTAATTCTTTTCCTAGGGATCTAGGTAGTAGGGTCTAGTGAATGGCATTGCGGTATCACCATCACTAAGACATCTCGAACACGTGTGCAAGTTCTATTTTTGCGTCTCTTACGAATTTAATGCAAATATGTCACGAATTCCTATTTTTGATCATCATCAAAACTTTGAATTGAGTTTGAATATCTAGCAACGTTGCGTAAGATTATTCCTCGCCAGACGAGAAACTCACTACTGTACCAGACCCATTCGCACATGTTCGATCATGTAATATTATAGCCTAATGCAACCATTAACACTTGGTCCATTGGAGCTCGTAATTTTACATTTATCGTGTATTGTTTTTGTTCCTTTTTTTTTTTGTCATAATTCAAATCGGGTACGCTTAGGGAATGTCTTTTGGCGCCCGCGGGTGGTACACGCCCTGGTGGTACGCCCACTTGCGATGGCCCTACTTTCCGGTACGTTACGATAGGGTGGGAGGATAATAAAAATGTTAAAAAAAATAAAGTTATGTAATTTATGGGATCTAACCTTATCTACTTTTTTTGAACTCTTTCCGATCATAGGTTCGGCCAAGCCCAAAATGGTGACGGAGGTCCAATACATTCAGGACAGACCTTCTATTAAAACTATTCTGTTTGAGACCCGGAACGATCTTAGAGTTTCTTTCCTTTAGTATACGTTCTATAGATTCATATTGTTACATTATTTTAAAAATTCTTCTAGTTTAACAATTTTAATAAATTATAAAAGAATATACTTGTTAGGAATTTTATAAAAATCATTTCTAAAAAACTCCAACTCTGAATACAATCTTTTTTTATATTCTAGTATAATTATTACGCATCACGTAAGTCCAAGTAAGAGATAAATCACGTTGATAAAAATCAGGATCCGACTGTCGTTATAAATCCTTCAGCACAGTTATTTAATGTCCAAATTTTAAAAGATCTCCATTCGTTATATTAACCCTCTTATTCCGAAATTTTTAATTGTTTGTTTTTTTTAATTTTTAATGTTATTGATTAAAATTTCTCAAATAAGATATAAAGAGAACCTATATTGTATCGTACGGTGACTTTGTTGCTAACCCTGTACAATTTAATGAGATTTCTACCGAAAAGTACGATTTCTCGATATTTTCATGAAACAATACGACAAATATGTTTATCTTCACTTGTATAAAACATATGAACTTACTTGGGTACAGAGTGTGCACCACAGAACGTAGAAGATAATTCTATGGGAATGGCATCACGCGCTCTCTCTATTACCCTGAGCAACCTCATTTCGGATTTGCAATCTAAGCCATAACCAGATTTAACTTCGACGAGGGTAGTGCCATTTTGCATCATTCTAAAAATCCTCTGTTTAAGCAGATCCAGTAGTATTTCGTCTGATGCTTTGCGTGTTTCATCGACTGTGAACTGAATTCCACCTCCCGCTTTATGAATTTCCATGTAAGTTGCACCTCGAAGCTACAGAATATTAAAATTTATATCGAATATTTTTGTTAATGTATAATATTTTGAATTTATGAATAATTAAAGAATTAATTACCTTCATTTCGAATTCGTGAACTCGATCTCCTGCCCAAACCGGATGAGTATGGGCATCAATAAGTCCTAAAATGCATATTTATAATAAAAAGCATGGGTTTAATGAATATAAATTTACTAAATCGTGTATAATACATTAAATTTTACATTAATTACGTTCATTTGAATATTTTTTATATATTTATATACTCTATAGGTAGAAAAAAGCAACTAAATATTGGAAATGTTCTAATTTAGTATTTTTTTAATAAAAAGGAAATGACAGAGATAATATTTATGCATAAAAATTGATATAACAATTAACCACAAGGTAAGAAATGGCTCTTTATTCATAATAATGTTTGATATTGAGTGCTACGAACTTTGAGATTTTTAAAATAAAATTGAGTGTATTCTTTACAACTACTAAAAGAACTATCTACATTCTGCATCAGCAACATCTACTGTGAAATCATATATTATCGATACGGCGTGTTTTGGAGTTGTTGAGAATACTAATGCTCTTATAATGGAAAACTTCCTAGGTCAAAGGTAATGGAAATGTTTAATCTTGATGGGTATGCTATATAAAATGATTAATAATCTGATCCTTAAAATATGGCAGAAAATTATCCATGGGCAAGTCCGAGAGTCCACAATTGACTCATAATAAATAAAAACACATTATAAATCTATTATAAATATTTTAGAGAATTATATTTTCGAGTTTTTACCGAACTTTTGAAAATATTTTTTTGATTTTTGATATCATACTTTATAAACATTGCTGCATCTGTGTTTTGAACATCTGAAGCAATAAAAATTAATCGGGATAGATCTATATCACTAGATACAAACACTCGAACGATATACGGATTACAGTTTAAACCTGAACATTTCTTAAAGATCAAGCGACCAATCCGTATCAGACTATGAATAAAGCGCTATTTCTTACCTCGTGGTACATTTCGGAATTAATTTGCTATCTTCGCAGAAGTCTCCTGTATAAAACACATCACATTTGAAAGTTTTCTTAATAAATAATTTACACGTGAAGTAGAAGTTTATCATGATTATTAAGTAATCATCACCTGATTTTTCAATATGGAAATTTTTACTTATATAAAAGTTTCTCACGATCGCGTGAATTTGTATTTATTCGATGAATTCTAAGTAACACCAAGGGGTGGATCTATAACAGCATTACGTAGGATGGGGTGTTCTTTATACAGCGTTATGTGACTATATAATATCTGTGGTTAAGACTTTTTTTATGCGTAGGCAGAATTGATGGTTGAGGCTACTAACGCTTCTTTAAGTGTCATATTCAAGTTAATACATGCAAGATTCATAGTCAGTGGCTGGGTAGATGAATCGTATAAAAGTTAAAGAATGATTTAGATTTAAATTTGTTAATAATAAATGTATTTACCATGGATAAACAGTATGCATTTGGGTTAAAGTCTGTACCAAGCGCTACGGCGACGCCTCCTTCTATCATTTTCCTTACTGGTGGAGGTTTCAGCTTTAAAACATAAGCAGTAGTTGGTAAAATAATAGCAGTTGTGTCGGATAAAGCCATTGCTTTAACTCCTTCATCACTAATTTCTTCCAAATGGGATATTGCGTGTGCTCCAATGCTTGCACCCATCTGTAGATAGAAGAGATCTATGGGTTTGCAATTTAAATAACAATGTTTTAACATTAAATTTTATTTAATTTTGTTTTTTTAACACATACAACATTTATTTTTTGCACAATCGAGTAGAATTAATTATAAATTAATGCGAATTCCTACACGTTTTCCGGATAATGTTTACAGTTGGGTGCCGAGAACAGTGAACTGCGAGGTCGTGACGCAATCAGCGCATATTTTCACGTTTTCTCGTGACACCTAATGATCCACCCAAAAATATAAATATCTCAAATGATTTCTTGAAGGGGACAAAGGGGAGGAAAAAGAATCATATCTGATTTAGCTGACAGCTATGGCCTCTTATATCGTTCTGTTAAACAGGGAGTTGGCTAAATTGATAGTTGACTCGCACCAGGTAATAGAATACCTGGGAGTTAAAAGTGATGAAGGTTAAAAGTTGCAATCGATTGTAGATAAGTTGTCTCGAGTGATTACAGTCGAATGTTACACGAAATTATCATTTGTGCAAATGATGTCTTCCTCGTATACCAAGAAAGTTCAGGATAAAATTGGTCAGGAAAGTTCTGTTTTGCTTCCGAATAATTACTTTAAAATACTCAAATTATACAGTCGAGTGTACTTAAGAAAAACCGTCGGGATCGCTGGTTCATGCTCATTATCCGAAGTAACAAGATCATCGAAGGGGTTAATAGAACTCTGTTCTCTTTTTTTTTNCATTTAAACGAATTATTAAAATGTAGAAATTCAATACGAATTCATAATAGTTCACATTGCAATTGAACTTTAATTATTATTAATAATCATGTAAGTTTTTAAAATATTTATTAACTAATGTTGATTCATTATTATTTAATAGGCAAATATGTCACGATGTTGGTTCCACTTGTTCTTCAGGCTTTGATAATTGTTGTCAACCATATTGTTGCAGTTTCGGGGAATGTGTAGAGGATTGCCTATAAAACCTTCATGATAGATTTTCTTCCTGACTTTCTTTCTTAAATATTTATCTAATAATCAATTTTTTTTTAAAATAACCTTTAAAAGTATTGATAAATTTGTTAAAAATTAAAGTTCTTAAACAACTGTAGGATACCTGTTTATTACATAATTTAATAGAAGTTCATAATTATAATTTATTTAAGAGATAGTAAATAAAAATATGCAATTCTTAAGTGGATTATTTTTTTAAAATTACAAGAAAGGAAATTATCATCTTAATAAAATGTATAAGCTACAAAACTTCTATTTGTGAATAACATAATTTTTGAAGGATAACCTTTCATGAACTTTTATCAAAGCCAAGAGTTAAAAAAAATTTTTTAAAAATCAACTATCGGGGTGCGAGTTTTTATGTTAACTTATTTTTTTATTATTATTATGCCATATCTGCAGTTCTTGTTATTTTGATTCATTTCCTTTAAATTTGGAGTTATTCTTACAATTACTGTAGCACAGTATTTGCAGGATGTTAAGCGACTTTTGACTCACCTTGTATGTTTGCAGTTCTTTTGCAATTTTTTTTTTATTGACATCTCGTGTCTGCAATTGTAATCTTACTCGCATGTTTTCAATTAATTATACAGCAAAACTTCGTTTTACAAAGTGATTAGGTTTTCAGCCAACTGTTTATAAAGTGAATTGTGACGTTTGTAAACTGATTCAAAATTGTACGATTTAAATGAGATTTAGTAGTCAATTTTCTTACCGAAGGAACTAAAGTTAATATTTAAATTTTTAAAAAGATTTATGGTTATTTTATAATTATTTACATAAATAACATAAGACAAAAGTTATAAATTAAAAAATAAACAATTTATTTGAAAACGATGGCATAATGAAAAAGCCTTAATAACATGGGCTTACAAGTTAGTCGAGGGCCATTTAGATCAACAAGATCCGAGATTTTTCTCATTAGGAACTGCAATAAGGATGTCTGTTGGATCTTTTTCTCTCTCTTCTCCAATATGTTATAATACTGTACAGTTGAAAGTATTTATGATTGGGAATGCAGCTCTTCCAGAGCTGCATTCCCAATCAGGAAATTTACAGGCAATTTATATCTGTAATAAAGCTTTCCTTAACAATCTTTGTGATGAGATCCCGAGTGGTACCATTTCCTGAACTCTTTTAACCTTCCTTTTTCTCAAGTTGTGCTGCCAGAGTTTCCAAATCTTCCATTGAAAGTGCTATAAAAATGAGTTTCGAACAACTCGTTGACATCATCAATGTAAAGATTCCAAATGTCAACATTCTTGGCCATTCCACTCACACACGTCAACTATATCTGAAACAGGCTCAAACCCAGAAAAGTCAAACCTCATCAGGCCATAATTTCCTCCAGACATAATTCATACACGACAAAAACATGTCAGCAATCTGGATAAAAATATTACAATGCTCTTAAGAATATTAAAGATCTTCAAAAAATAGTTAGTTGGGAAAATTTTGCTGAAAAAAACCAATAACAATTGCAATATTACACTGCCGACATATTGCATTTATATTTTATCTTTTATTTTTTGAATTATTTTGGATATTGTAAGAAAAATTTAATTAAATTTTTCAAAAGTTCAATTATAATTTATGTTATTTTCGTATTTTTTTAAGTAAAAAAATATAATTTATAGACTATAATCTGAATGATATTAGCAATTTTGAAAAAGTTTATAGCGTCAATATTCCTCTTGCAATTGCTGATTTACAGAAGCCATGTTGTACTTTATAATTGCTCACTTCTGAAATATTTAGGCTTTGCTATGTTTGCAAAGCATAACTTTTAAAATATGACAATTTACATTGATTAACAAGTTAAAACATTCTAAAGTATATAAAGTCAATATTCCTCTTGCAATTTCTCATTGCAGCTGCGCTTTGCAGCTGTTTGCTTTTTCTCCATGTCATGAGAACTTCTGGAAGAGATTAGTACAAAGATCAGTTACTGTATCAAAAATGCAACTATCAGCAAATTTTTTAAATTATCATCCTTATTCCGCATTCAATTTAAAAATTAAATATATGATTCAGTAATTTAAGCCATTTAAAGAAATTTGATTAATTATTTAAATATTTAATTGTATTAATCATAAATAAGACATACTTTTTGAATAAATATTTATATATTTTTATAATGTTTTAAATTAAAACTAAAAAACACCAAAACAAAATTCATTTAATAATTTTAATGAATACAATATACAAAGTTATTAATATTTTATAATGTAAAAAATATAGTAAATACCTTTATTATTAACAATAAAACAATAACATATTTTAATATGAATTAAAGCTCTTAATATTTAATAAAATTGTTATTTTAATTCGTTATAAAAATTTTAGTTCGTTATTATTTTACACAAATTTTGAGTCAAAATATGAATTTTTGCCTCAAAAATTGGGCAAAATGAGAATTAAGTAAGGTTAAAATTTATATTAATCAGCAATAAGCACATATTTGTTAGGAATTTTCTTATATTATTCTAAAAATTTGAGTAATTTAGAATAATATTTAGCACATTAAACTGATTTCTTTCTTTAAGTAAGCATTATATAAATAATGAATCAATTAATTTCCTGTATTTAACCGTTAATTTAAAAGAAATAATCAGTTTACTAACGGCCGTCGTTAAGATAACGGCCGTCAATAACTTTCTTTTAAGATTTATTATTAATTTTATTATTATTATTTGCAAATTTCGAGTCGAATTTCAAGTTTATACATTTACAAAACTTCTCAATGAACACTTTAACACACAAAAATCACTCCATTTTTATACACGAATGTTTAAATTTTGTTTTAATGATGATAAATAAACTGCAAATTCTTAAAATTTTTGAAGTCTTCAAGATTGGTTGTAGAGAAAGGAATTTAAGATCACTTCAACAAAATTCCAATAGAGATAACGTATCAGCCGTAGCAGAATTGTTGAACAAATTTGAAACCCACCGGAAACATTCTAGACAAATTATTTCTGATCGAATTTGATATCTGAGGAAATACTTTATAATATTTTAATAAATTCGTAATTGATATCTATCCAATTTATTGCAGCTGTTTTTTTATGTTAAACGATATAAATATTTATAAGCTCACACCGTTTGAAAACTCATCCCCTGTATTGAAAAATCAATTTTAACTTCTATCGACTCGTGTTTCATGCAAACAGTATCAATCTTAGTCTTTTGTATCTAATGCCTTGAGGTAAAACCTTTATCATCTACTCGAAACGTGAGATGATTGCCCTATTTATCATATACCCTATGTTGCCAAACAACACAGTCGTCTCCATCTCTTTCTACTTCAAGCACAGATGCATTTAACACGAGGATCTCAATTTTAAATGACCTCATCTCGCGTCGTCTTTCTTCCATTGTAATTTAGAACTTTATAATTAACTGAAAGTCACGAATTTAATACAATGTAAAAAAGCTTAGATCTTGTCCTCTGCCTGCTTCTTCTCCATTTTGTTTGATGCTGGATGATAAATGAAGACGTCAGATACTAAAGTCTTAGAATACGCTGAACCACTCCCCGATCTCGAAACTGTAGACGTACTTCTTTCACGAGGGCAGAATAAACGAATGTACGCTTGACGATATTGGCGATTTAGAACGGCATAAATGATGGGGTTAATGCAAGAACTCATCCAAGCCAAGATGGAGGCTAACACGTGAATTACCGGAATCCTGTATTAAAAATTAACGACTTTTGAGCAATTTAGTAGTGGACATTATGTTTTAAAGTTTAAAATTTTATTATAAATATTACCTGAATTTGCTGTCGAACACGTTAACGATCATCAAAGGGAGGAAACAGATCAAAAAGGAAAAGAAAACAATCATCATCAGCTTTGTTAATCGAATTTCATCAGCACGTTGAGAAACTTGATGGCAAAGTGGAGCTTGAGTTGGTGTATTTGGGCTATGTGCTGCGATGTTTTTCCTTGTTTGACGAACCTGGAGAGAGAGAGAGAGAGAGAGAGAGAGGAAAAAAAGTATATATACATTTAAAACTTGATAAATCATCCTAGATGTATAAACATAATAAAATTTATATGATTTTCTTACTTTATAGAAGATACACGAATAAGATAGTATGATGACAATGCAAGGAAGAAGAAAGCCAAAAACGAATAGGAATTTTTTGGGAGACTTGCCATCCAATTTAAGAATGGTACACGAAAAAGTTTCTTCATGAAGACCAAACTGGCCCCAAGTTTTGGTTAATGTCGGGAGCAACATGCTGAAACTAAATAACCAGCAGAATGCGATCATCAGAGCTATGTTTCTTCTGCGGTAGATTCTATCGTATATTCTATAATGATTGATCAAGATATATCTGGAAAAAAGTTAGGATACGGTTTAATATTGTGGACTACGCTAAATGAACACGTAATAAATATAACAAAAATGTTTCTTCAGCATAAACGTTATATAGTAGTATGTGAGAAATTGTTTAAAGTCGCGGTAACGTCTCGAGCCACGTATATCTGAAAGGTGTACAAAACAAACTCGGCAGATTCGTCATCTTACTTCAGAGATAATATAATATTGCGTTTGTTACACAACCGGAAGTCCGACTGGAACTTATAGTCAAACTTCCGACTGTTTAATAGAGATATTAATCTTTATTAAATAACAACCGAACAGCTATTTAATACAGATGCATTAAATTCTCGATTAAAAGAATAACTATATTTTATTTTACGTAAACAATTTATAGTAGACATGATCTGTGCAAATCGTTAACATGAAAACATTTAACCAAAACGTTTAACTAAAATTATATTTTATTTATACAAAATATTTCCTATTATAATATACTACATTTTCCCGGTTATGTAATATCTACAGTTTGTTGTACAGATCATAGAACCAGATTTATACACAAGATAAATAAGCTTCAAGTTAAGCTTAGGGCTTCATGCTACGAGCCTGCAGCTTAGGTCTTCAATAATTTTAAATCTGATATTTCTTGTACATGATATTTGACTAACCTGATTACATAACTTTAAAGTTTTATTAAATTCGCAATTCTGAAGTTATCATCATATATTTATCTGTAAAAAATATGTTTAAAAACTAAAACAGGTGTATCATCTACGTATTGCATACTGTATGTACATTTCCTTTCCTTGCTTCTTCTGATAACAGAAAAAGCTCTCTTGGAAAAAGATCGCTATCAATAATTTCCCGGATTCAATTTATCTTAAATCAATCTTTCATGACATAATTTACTGTTACTATCCTGTCGAACTTAATTAAAATTCTAAAAAAAATATTTATTCAAATTACTTTTCACTTACCTGTTTATTGTAATGGCCGTCATGGACATCAAAGAAACAGCAACGTTTCCATAGAAGAAGAATGGAAAAAGGGTGCACATAGTTTCACCCAAGAGCCAACTTTGATGAATGTAACGTGAAGCTGTAAGAGGCAAATTAAAGGTACAAAAGAGAAGATCGGCAGTGCATAAACTGACGACGAAAGCCGTTGTGGCATTTCTCAATTTGGCACATCTACAGAGGGCAAGAATTGTTAAGAGATTGCCTAAAATTCCAAAAATGATAAAGAAAACTGCACATATCGCTGCAAAAATCGAAGCTCCTTTAGGATAAATGATTATTCGTTGTTCCTTTATATCTAAATCGATTTCTTGTATAGGGTGGATTATATCTATAGTTTGATTGGTGAAGTTCCAATCGGTTCCAGGTAGAATGGACATGTTCGATGCTAGTTCCATTGTCGATTTCCTGTTTAAATGCAAAACGTTAAATAAATTAATGTTACAAATATAAAATAAATATCTTTTTATATATTTATATAAATAAAATTCCTCTTAAATAGCGTTAAACGATGATAATTTGAGTATAAACATATCTAAAGAGCATGAATCATTTTGATGAACAACCTTTGGGACTTAGAGAAGCGTAAATTCAAAGAGAGCGTTCTCTCTTACTAGGAGGATGACTCTAAAAAATTTTGTTTACAAAAAAATTCTAACTAAAAAAGACAATTTAAAACATTCCACGGAAGATCTCTTACGATACGTCGAGTCATTCCAACTGATATTTTTAAAAATAAGTAGCTTTTTAGTAGCATAAATAAAGTTTCTGTCGATGGTCTGTAATTAAATATGAAAACCGGTTATAAAAGGAAATTAAATGTAAAAATATTCCTAGAGTTGTTAAAACTTGTTTATAAATGAACTAATTATGTAATTATGACGCGATTTTGCGTTATGATTATTTAGTAAATTAGTAAATTTAATTTGAATTAGTCACGTATTAATTTATTAGAATTGAGTAGGCAAAGGGGAAAAATAGAAGAAAATAAATGGAAGAACAACGGTTTTGTGATGAAGGTTTTGGATTTTTTTACTGTGAATTGCATAAATTGACTTTTTAAATAATAAATAAATTTTTTGTTAAAATGTTTTTTTACCTTTAGATCAGTATTAATATTTATAAATAAATTTATCTTAAAATGATACAAACTATGTGCAATAATGCAATCAATATTAATTATATGGCTAAGAAAACAATAAGTAGTGAATTTAGGTAATGAGAAATAAATGCGTGATCAAAAAGAGAATGGGAAGTAAATGTACAACTGTAAATATACAGTATTGCAAAGAAAGGCTAATAAATACATAATTCAGAAGGAAATGGCAGTAAATATATGTCCAAACATGGAATAGGTAATGAAGAAATTAATGATTAAAATTTTAATCATTACAGTACTTCTATTGTCAGTTGAGTAACGTAAATGGTAATGACAGTTTTATGCGTAAACACAAACCATATACGCAAACGTACACACATGCTGGTAGTTTATTTATTTTGAGATATTATTCACGTAGCATTGTGATAAAGAAAACGTGCAAAGTACAAAATGCTTGGAGAGGCGGCAACAGAAAAGTTTGACAGTGTTTATAAGAAATTAAAGAAATTTCCGGGAATATGACTTGAGAAACTCAAGCCGACATTGGTCTCGTGTACCGGAACTCCGCCATCTGGTCAACGAACATCTGAAAGTATATATTATCTTCATTCTGTTTATCCCGTCGTTCCCAACATAAAGTACATAAAGAGATGAATACACGAGCTAAAGACGAATAAAAATAATTATTTCGTAGATAATTCTAATGTTTAGCTTTAACGAACTCCCTCGAAATGTCCTTGACCCGTCCTACTGGTGTCAGAGGTACAATGTGGGATGCTCCATTCAACCCAATGGAAATTATGATCTATGACACATAAAATGTATATAATTATCTACGATACACATCTTATATTTTATAGAAATGCGCAATTTAATATTTTATAAATTTAATTTACACTGTTTTGCGCTTTGGAGCTGTGAAAGGTTGTTAGAAAATTACTATTTAAATGAGAAGTAATTATGTTATTTATGGATTTAGAAGTGAGATAAGTACTGAGAGAATCACAAACATAAAAAATTAATACCCGTAATGAGATAAGGTAGAAGAATAAGCATTGTTATTGTTGTATGTTCCTCCTCTCCATTTGCTTCAACACTCGTAATTAAGTAAACTATTGTCTACTTATCAGTATAAGATAATTATGTAAGGCGTTGACGCATCTTCGTAAACTTGACATTCGTATAATGGTTTAGAAACTAGATTTATATAAGAATAGAGAATGATTGCCTCATCAGATGGCTCATCAGATAAGAGATTATCAATTGTAACCACATGCTTATTAAAGCATTATCCATTCCAGCATATGGTTTAATTTCTCTTTGCCCTCATATATAACGTAAGAANTATAATTTATTTAAGAGATAGTAAATAAAAATATGCAATTCTTAAGTGGATTATTTTTTTAAAATTACAAGAAAGGAAATTATCATCTTAATAAAATGTATAAGCTACAAAACTTCTATTTGTGAATAACATAATTTTTGAAGGATAACCTTTCATGAACTTTTATCAAAGCCAAGAGTTAAAAAAAATTTTTTAAAAATCAACTATCGGGGTGCGAGTTTTTATGTTAACTTATTTTTTTATTATTATTATGCCATATCTGCAGTTCTTGTTATTTTGATTCATTTCCTTTAAATTTGGAGTTATTCTTACAATTACTGTAGCACAGTATTTGCAGGATGTTAAGCGACTTTTGACTCACCTTGTATGTTTGCAGTTCTTTTGCAATTTTTTTTTTATTGACATCTCGTGTCTGCAATTGTAATCTTACTCGCATGTTTTCAATTAATTATACAGCAAAACTTCGTTTTACAAAGTGATTAGGTTTTCAGCCAACTGTTTATAAAGTGAATTGTGACGTTTGTAAACTGATTCAAAATTGTACGATTTAAATGAGATTTAGTAGTCAATTTTCTTACCGAAGGAACTAAAGTTAATATTTAAATTTTTAAAAAGATTTAGTTTAATGGCTGAAAAAATTAACATTATAAACTACACTTCTCTAGTGTTTATTCAAAACTATTGGATAAGTATGACTTATCTGATGGTTAAATGAATGGAAAAAAAACAGCAGTTAATATAAATTCATAAAATAGATTAGAATAATTTAGCATATTTCATAACGAAAACTTTGACTCACTAAATTATAATAGAAATCATTGCAATCAATTACTTGGTGAAGAATCTTAATGATATCCTTTGAACTCTGTCAGACTTTTAGTTTAATTAATCATTGAAGAAGTATGTCAGAATGAAAATATTAAAAAAAAATATAATATAATTAATTTAACGCTTTAATTCATTTTCATTTATATTTTATAAAATTAAGCGTTATAAAACTATAACGATATAAAATATTTAAACTAAACTAATTCGACTTTTATTTTAAAAATAGTTAAAAACATTTAAAATTTGAAAATTATTTTAAGAGTAATTTTTTAAATAATTAAAGCATTAATTTACAAAATTTTGAAGTTTACGAGCAATTTAAAGTTCTTTTTTTATGACTTTTCTATTTTCAAAGTATAATTTTCAAAGGAGGTCACTCGTTAAAGTTGAAATTTCTCTATTGAAATAATTTAAAAACAATAGAGTTTTAAAATATATTATAAAATATTTAGCTTAATAAAGTAGTTTACTCATTATATTAAACCTATATTCAGTAATAGATAGATTTATGAGTCAAAGTTTATCAACCTTTCATTGTAAGAACCATAAATGGAAATGAAGCCAAGCAAAGCGAATCAGCGTTAAGAATTAAAAAAAAAATGTGGGCAAAACATGAGTAAATCCATTGATTCATGGCAAATAATACCATAAAATATTCTTAAAGTAAATAGTTGAATTGTAAATTGTGTTTAAGTATTACACGTAGTCACATAAATAAGATTAAAGTATCACTAGATCAAGGACATTCTAATAACCATTTCGTCGTTTAAATCAATGCAAATTAAATGTTGTCTTAGAAAGTAATTATTGTTTACTGATTTTGAATAAGGATATCTTTGTAATATGTTTTTTTCGAGTATTATATTTCACTCTAACAATTCTTATTTTAATAACTCAAGTAGATTGCAATGTCAAGTAGTATTGCCAATATTCTAATATTCTTTTTAATTTGAGGGTACAGTACATCGTGGTGTTCTTCAAGAACTGCAACTACATTCCAGTGTTATTTACTAACTGTAAATACATTTTAGAGTTATTTACGAACTGCAGGTACATTTTAGTGCTATTTACTAAATGCAAGAACATTCTGGTGTTCTTTACGACTGCAGATATATTCTAATTGCAAGAATATTCTATTGTTTCGTTTCAATTCCAAATACACTTTCTTGTAAATCAAAATTAAAGTAAGATAACTTTCTTGAACTGAACATATCCTTTGAACTAAAAAGGTGGAGAAGTTATGCCCCTTTTTAAATGCAGATATATTCACGTGTTCTTCCTCAATTTTACATAGTCTGACGTCGTTTTTTTTAACTGCAGAGCATTCTGATGTTCCTTTTGAAGTGCGAGAACACACGGCTTGCATCATAACATATCGTTTGTCAAATAGGTATAACAGGTGAAAGCTAATATATCTTTTGATAAAAATTCACTTTAGATTTATGTTAGACACTTCTTTTGAGAGATTTAGATACAGAGATAAAGTTTACGAGAGAAAGATTCCCTTTCAAATCAAACTGTAATCGAATTTTGTAAGTAATTAATCAATTTTGACTGTTTGATTAATGGGCTAATGTAACTAGATGAGGTGAGAAAAATTATCTGAATTTTCCTTCAGAAATGCAATTAAAATAGAGAAATGAGATCATAAATTTTAATATTAGTCAGTAATTTTTAAAATTTGTTTTTTTCGATAATCATTTTATTATGATAAATGTCTGGAAATTGCGATTAAATTTAAGAGATCCGGACATCGATTTGGATCCTGTTTTAACTTAATTACATCAAAAGATTTTTTATTATCGAATATAAACATATTTATTTGAATATTCCAATAAATCTTATTGATATTCTAAATAAGAATATCCAATAAATAATCTTGAAAGTCAATATTTTTGCCTCTTATAAATCTATATGATCTTGCTTATCAAGTGATGGATTATAAAGAAGTAAATATGAAGAAAAATATAAACTTATTCACCAATAAATTATTAAAATGCATAAAAATTTATATCTCTTAAAATTTACATCTTATTTTAATTTAAAAATTTAAATTACTATATTTTATATATATATTTTTTTTTCTACAAGGAAATGCTCCTGCTGTTTTTTGCATCCTGTTTAGTTCATTTTTATAGTTGTAACTGTAATTATAGATTATAGGCTATAAAATTTGAAGAGAGATGAATTTTTATTGATTTATATTCATTATGTGTTAATTTAATTACCAATTTCTTAGTCTAAGATATTTAATTAGAACAAGAACTTAATTAAGAGGTGAGCATCATCATTGACATCAATATTTAACGACAATAAAGTATTATTATTTGATACTTCTTACTTGTCTTTTTATTGTGTTTACTTCAAATGGGTATATTTAACATTTAAAATGGGTAATTTAAAGGATTTTTTGTGCTATAATTTAGCATTTTTAGACAGAAAAACGTCAGAATTGCCATTAGTAAAGAAATATAACAGAAATTTTAAGGCATATCAATAAGCTGTCTTACATTAAAATGGCATCAGAATATCCAAAAAAATAATATAAATTAAGTTCAGATTACAAAGGTAAGCCGTTAAAAACACTTACCTTTAGATACAAAAGGGTGCATTGTTTGATAAACTATAAATTTGTAACATGAATTGTTCATTGTGTTCATCTACCAAATGCCTCATCCTTTAATTATATGAAGATAATTAACAGAGCAAAGACCTTAGTGAAACCTTACTCTGATATATTAATCTATTCATAATTAATCTTCTAAAAAAAAAACATAATTTACTTGAGCATATTAATAATAGTTCTTTTTTAACAGTAGAAATGTATTGAAAACTATTTATATTTTTTAAAATTTGCGTATTTTATTGTAACAAATTTTATTTGCATTTAACTTAATTAAAATTCTTGGAATAAGACATTTTTTATCGGTAAAAAATATAGTCGAATTATTAAGAAATAATTTTCCTTTGATAAAGGAAGTTGGAAATTTGTTGTCATTCGTGAAATTTTATTTAAAAGAAATGAAAAAAATATATAAAAGTAAATTAACTCAAAATGTTTTAGAAGTTGCAAAAATTGACAGAAATTGATTTATTTTACAGTCATAGTGATAAATTGTTCAAGAAGTAACCTTTGTCATTTGCTTCATGCCTTTCTCATGAGAGCTTTTTTAAAAAATTTATGTGAAAATTATCTCCAAATCTATCCTTCTGACTCATAAATGTGTATAGGAGCCAAAAAACTCTTTTCCTATACAACTACACTTTAGTAAATACAGTTGTGCAGGAAGGAGGTTTTTGATCTCTCCATTGGTAATGCCTTACTTTCTCATTCGATTTTTAAGTTAAGGTCTATATTGAAAAATAATCTTTAAATTTTATCATTTTAATCATAGCTGTGTATGGAAGAACTAAAAACTCATTTCATTCCTATAAACTGTATTTCTATTAAGTATAGTTATATAAGAGAGGGAAGTTTTTATCTCCTGCATATACATTCATCAGTATACCAATAGATAAAATTCAAGAAATAATTAAAAAGAATTTACTTCTTAAGATTTTAATGATCATCCTGCTGATTTGATAAGAGTTTTTTAAACGTAATCAGTAGAATATAAGTTATCAAATATCAGTATTTAATGACTTTGATGTTTCCTTTAAAAAAAACTATTCATCTATAATTATCAATGTATTTTTTATTCTTAAATTTTTTGAATAATTAAATTAGTAGTTTTGGAATTTTGGGTTTGGCACATCATCTACAAGTCTTCAGATTAGCAAACGATTGGTCCAATTAGCATAGTCCAAAACATCCTTTCATTAGAGTGATTTTTTTAGATCTTATCAAAACAAATTTATTTGCATTTAAATAATTAGTGTTTGTAAATATTTTGACTTTGATATTGATGTTTTTGGATAATTTATGTCTTCTAAAAACTTTAATTTTTGCAGATTTTTACGAAGTTTTGCTATAAAAATATGCATTTTTAATCACGCTCAGAATCATCGTAAGCATCAATTAGCTTTTTTTTATAATTTAAAAAAAATCTTTTCGAAAAGACTTTTTTTAGAAGATTATTCCAACATTTAACACGTTTAATTCATATTTATAACGGAGCAAACAGATGAAAAGTAGCCTTGACACCGCCTTTAATACGAAACCTGAAGTGATAATAGCATTCTAAAAATACACTTCGTGCATTAATTAGCATCAACTTGTACACATTTTTTTTTTGCTATTTTCAATCTGATCTGTCATTTATCTTTTCTCGGTCGATAAATGCTAAGATTTTCTTTTTTTAATTTATGACATTTTGAAATTTTTATGTCATCCTCAGCCTTCTTAAACAGAACTGAAACATTATATTTTCTAACGCTTAGTTGACACAAGAGGAATAAAAGGCATAAATTCGAGATGACATATAAAGAAAAAACAGCCATTTCTGCTTAATTTATCACAAAAAGTATCTTATTTACTAAAAATAATTTTTAATTTATCTCTTTAAATTCAATAGGGATTAGGTTGTGGGGAAAAGAGTTTTTATTTTAAAAATCTTAACTTTTTATTATAGATTTTAAGCTAAAATCGATTTTTTTAGATAATTTTTCAATTTCTATATGCGTTAATTTGTGTAAATTACGTGGAGTTTTAGATGCAATCTTTATGCAAATGAGTAATTGACACGTTACAGTCAAATTCCTATATATTTTGATAAATTAAAGCATTATAAATTTGATTTTTAAAGAAATTTACATGTTTTTTTACAAAAAAAATCTATATTTGTTTAGATTTTAAATTAAGTTTTTCACATTTACACTTTAATTTCTCATCGTAACGCAATCACTACTCATTTGCATTAAAATCACTGCATCGCATCTAAAACCACACCTAATTTACCTAATTAACGTGTACGGAAGCTGGAAATCCTGAAAAAAAAAATCAAATTTATAAACTTCTGTATACATTTAATGCAAATAAGTGAATTCTCTTTAGATGCAATGCTGTGAGTTTGCATTCAAATTAACCAAAGCATTAGCATGAGAAATTAAATTAAAATACAGAAAACTTAAAACCAGAAAAAAATTTATAGACCTTTGAAAAATATAAAATTAAGACATGGTTCTCTAGAAAATTTCCAACATTTTATACATTAATTTAGCTAAATAAATATTGTATTTAATGAGTTTTTTTTATCAAGCGAATACTTGACGCGTGGACACGAGGTTCCGTAATCCCAATTTTTCATCATATTCCTGATCATTTGTAACTTTAATCCTTGTTAAATTATTTGTAAATGTGTACACAATTTTTTTACTCTTATTACTTTTCAAGTTGTAACAATTTTATGGGGATTCTTCGCCTCCTAATGAGACACCAAGCAACAATGCAGCCAACGCCTAGTAGACGCCTCTAGAGAAATGAAAAACGAGCACAAGTGGATGCTAAATGATTTCCAAAAAAAAATCCATAAATTTTTTAAGGAAAAAAAAAATATATATATATATATATATTCCATAACTTAAAATATAACTACGTTTATCTATGTAGTTGTAAATATAATACGGAAATAAATGCTATTTCATTTCTCAGATTACAAATTAAATATTGAAAATACTTAAACAATTATGTTGCAAAATTTCATTAAAATGTGCTAAATAATAATAAATAGACAAATTTTTATTCAAAAATAAAATATTTGAGTGAAAGAACATATTCAAATGATTATAAAAATTCATCTAAAGATCTAATTTCGTAAATTCAAACGATTACACGTACAAAAAATTTGGGTGTTTTGTATACCAATCGCAAGTTTTTTTGCGTATAACATGATAGACAAACATACGTTCGATGAGAATGGCATTAATTCTCACCGAAACGTATGTTTGTCCGTCAGTTGCCTTCCTATTTATCTTCTTCAATATCAACAAATGCACATCTACAGTTAGAAATATAACTAAAACTTTTAAAAATTTATAATTATAAATTAAATTAATTAAAATAATCAATAATTAAAAATAAAAACCAATTTATAGTATTTTTTTCTATGTTATTACTTTCATTTTTTTAAAAATTATTCAGCTTGCAAACGGATGACTTGATTCATCGATTTCTTAACTTGCAAAATCATTTGTAGAAGTACTTACACGAGCAAGTAAATTAGCCTTTTTTTAAAAAAAATACCTCAAAAAAAATTAAATTTTTTGATTGAATCAAGGAAATTAAATAAAATCGATCCTTAAACTACTCCAAAAAACTCATAACTTAAAGTTTTACTTACGTATTATTAAGTTAAATTACTACAGACTCGATGGCACCTATATAATTTAATCTTTGTTAAAGTGTTACGTTATCGGAAATCAACGTTACGTTTATATTTAAAAAAAAAGGAAAGGGAAGTGAATATATATAATGAAACTTACCTTAATCAATTCCAAGATATCGCAGGAAATACAGGTTCCTTCCTCCTTTCTTTTTAATTCGCGTAACGCAATTCGTGAATTTGTAAAGCTTAGAGAACGGTTAAAATGTTACTGCTGCGTAACAATGACCTCTTAACGAGTTAAGATTCTATCAGGAGTAACAACAAGAGGTTGAGTTAACAACAGGTTGTTAGTTGAATCTAAGCAGCGCGACTAACGTTGCAAACGTCGAAAGAAGAGCGAGGACAAGTTGGTCTTTTTTGAAAGATTTTTCGACTCAATCTCCAATTTCATCCGCACCACACACACACATCAAACGCACTACACACTACGTTCAAAATTTCACCCCTAGTTGCTTACTGCTTTTCATCTTCTTCCTCTTTCTACTGTATGAAAATTGACGCTCCTGTTTTTTTTCTATTTTCTAATTACAGATACGAAGATCTTCCAAAAATCTCTTCTTCTTCTGGATTTTTTAAGAGATTTTTTTAAGGTCGTTGGATATAATTTTTTTTTTTTATATTTTAAAATAACTCCCTCACGATATTCTTAGAAAATGATTCAACAGGTTTTAAACTCGGGGTTAACACGTTTAATTCATATTTATAACGGAGCAAACAGATGAAAAGTAGCCTTGACACCGCCTTTAATACGAAACCTGAAGTGATAATAGCATTCTANCTTCCAAAAATCTCTTCTTCTTCTGGATTTTTTAAGAGATTTTTTTAAGGTCGTTGGATATAATTTTTTTTTATATTTTAAAATAACTCCCTCACGATATTCTTAGAAAATGATTCAACAGGTTTTAAACTCGGGGATGGAATAAACACGGTTGAGAGGAGACTGCTATCGTCCCCGTACTCGTGTTTTTGGAAGATCGATTCACTCAGTAACTGCACGTGGAGTGTTTGATTCAGCCAATGGCAGACAAGTAAACTTTATAAGCAGGGATATGAGCAACTTCCTCATTTCTTTCAAAGCATTTTGAATTGGTGCTGCTGTGTCAAGTTCAGTGATTGAAACCCTCATTTTAGAAACATTTCTTAAGCTTAAAATTCTAAAAAATAAATAAAATAATAATACATTTTTTGACATAACATTAATTAAAATTTAATTTTAAACACTATTAATATAATTCTAAAACAAAAAACTTTTTAAAATGTAAATTTGTAAATTTACGTACGGATCTAGAAGCGTGTTTCTTAGAAGTAATTAATTTTAATTTTATTTCGGATCTAAATTTATAATATAAACGTGTTTTTTCGGATTAAAACAAAAAAAAAACCGTTGAACCGTTCGAAGAAATCCGTTAATTCGATCGTTGAACGTGTATTTAAATTTTTTTTTAATACATTTACACGCGATTGAATACACCCAACCCTTGATAAAGATGATATTCACTCTGAAGAACCACTCCCAAATTATATTAGAAATCTCGAGAGGGGGGTCGAGTTCATTAAATCTTAATGAATAATAATACATGGAAGATTATTTTTTGTGTTCTTGATTAACAAGATGTTACTTTCTTAGAGCTTCCTTATGATAGAAGAAGACATGTGTCAGTAAGTGCAAAGACTACTTACGCATTATTCTACAGCACAGCCACGGCTTTTTATTTTTAAAATTTTTTTGATGTTAAAGGTCATATACTTTGATAACAACAGGAATAAATGGTTTTATTGTTTGTCGACCAGTCTCTTAGCGATCAAAGTGGTCTTTATTAAACAATAAATAAAGTTGTTGTATCATTATGTGATGTCGTTTATGAAAGGATAATGTTAATTTTCTTTCATTTTCGTATAACAACATTGAAATAAAATGGTAATTTTGTATTTTTATATTGTAATTAGCGTGAGTTGTAACGTAGTAAATTATAGTTGTGCTTTTAAGAATTTTTAATATTCTCTGTCCCAGTTCAATGATCGGTAGATTTATCGGTTTTATGGTCATTTTCATGGCAATTTGTTTGGTTCTATGGTCAGTTCTAATGTCTACATATAGTTACTAGATGTGATTTATTCCATGATTTCTAGCATGCTAAATTATAGTTATTTCTGTGTTAATTTTTATGGTCATTAGTGTCATATTTCACGTTATGGTGAAATTGACCATAGCGTAGAATACGACACTAATGATTTCTAGTAACATCAGTATAGTCAATGCTTTGATCAGATTTTGTGACTACTAGTATTACAACATCCATAAAAAATTATGGACCTCTGACAAAATTCAATTCTACTATGGAAATCCCTTATGGACCTCATAGTCATTTCAGGGAGATGCGTGATCCCCGTTCCCCGTTTAGATAACCACACTGGTATCATCAGTTAGTATCATCAACTACCATTAGATCTACATCAGTTTCTGTGATCACTAATATCTTTGGCTATCAATAAGAACTATGAACCCCCTTGACAAATTTTGATCCCACTGGGGATGCTCCATTCAAAGGTGGCCCTAGGATTTGCGATGTCCTAGACAAAATTTATTTCTAGGGCTCGTTAAAAAAGTGATGAAGGTAGAGGATAGATTTATTTAGGTCTACAGTTTATAATATGAACATTTTTAATATAGAAATAGATAGTAAAACACGACTATATTTTTAATAATTACCAACTTGACGATTAAAATACTAAATTTGTGAGGCTTTTGTAAGCACGAGGCCTAAGCGTTACCTTTTTCTCCTATAAGTAGGATCAGTCTGCCTCCACTAAGGGCCCTCATCATTGATTGCCTGAGATCATAGACCTCTAATGCGTGTCCCTCCCTATTCTCTATTTGAGAGTCCATGCTAAGTTATAATCTATACTATCATCAAGCATATAGTCACTAGTATAATAGTATGATAGTGTATTTTCCCACCCTTTACAAGCTTTTCACGTATTATCTTCCATCAAACTAAAGACATTCTTTCACTCATCACTCCTTTCTAGAGTTACTGCTACTACTCATCTGAATAAAGAACGTTTGTGTGTTGGACCGCTTCACATCATTTTTTCTCAAATAAAGTTCTTCTATTTTTATTTTAATTACTATTCTAAGATACAATTTTTTTAGTAACTTACAATTATATTTATTTTACTAAAGCATAATTAATTTTGTCATTGAATGTTCAAAAAATAATAAATTGCTATTTTTTGATAAAAGTTTTATATATACATAAGTACTAACATTAATAAAGTGAACGTAATGTGATTATACACCTAAATTAGGTCGTAAAGTGTGCTTTATTTAGCTTTTTATGAAGGATTTCTTTAAAAACAATTTAAAAAACATGTTTTATATTAAATATTTTATTTAAAAAATTAGTTTTGAGCACTGGAGAAAAGTAAATAAAATGACGAAGTTTTATAATGATGAATCATTTATATTGATTCATTAATCATTGTATTTAATGAATCACCAAAAATTCACTTCCATAAAATTAAAAAAATAATAATAATAATGACAGTAAATTAAATTCAAATAATCATCATCTAAATTCTATTTCTCAATAGAATTTACCTTGTTTTGGAAATTAGTTGCTTTATCTAAGAAATGTGTTTAAACCCGCTCTTAATCATTACTCTTCATGGATAATTGACAATGATGATGAATAATATTCTCATCAAAGAAGTAATTTTCAAATAACATAAATTGCTCTCACTTCATTCTTAAGTGCAGTTCACGGTTGTTTCTTATATTAAATAGTTGAATATATAATTTGTATGACTTACCGTTGATAATCAGGAATGCCATCTTTGTTCCTCATCCTAATGTTCCATTTGTTTCATAACTTTTTACACATTGCTTATTTTCGTTAAATTTTTAAAGAAAACTTTGAGTTTTTCTGAGGTTAGTAAACTTGGTGCATTGATAGTTTGCATATTCAAGTTTATTTTCCTATAAATTTCAGCAAGTAAATGCACTAATTTAAATATTTTCTACAAAAGAAATGCATGGACTTACAAAGCCCATTGAGATCTTCCATTTGGTCTTACTAAGCTAAAATTAGCACGTTTACATGTTGGAATTTCTAATAAAATCTCCTAGGTACATTAAGTTTTACGTTCAGATTTTTTTTAGACCGTCTATTTAAATCCCTTCTATAAAAGGACTTAAAGGATTTTCCATATTTGTTTTTAAAAAGAGAGTTAATGAACTTGGTGCTCGCATGTTTATACGTGTTATTTGTTGTAGAAAATTTGAGCATTATTGCATTTATTTAATGCCGAAATTAACGTTTTACAACCTACAAAATACTCAAGTATTTAAAAAAAAAAAGAAATTACAACATGCAAGCATATTAATTATAGTTTTGTAAGTCCATTAGGTCTATTGTAAAATGGACTTAATGGACTTCTTACATTCTTTTATGAAAAAAATTTAATGGACTTCTGTTATAAGTTAATGAACTTGGTGTTTTCTTATGCTTACAAGCATCGAATTTTTTTAGAATAATTGAGCGTTAAGTACTTTTAAATGATGTGAAACTTAATGGACTTGATGCTTTGTTTCGAAAACTACGTTCAGACTTTTTTAAAAGCCATTTCACCACTTAAACCTATTATTTAGCATTGTAAATATCAAATCTTTTATATAAAAAACGACTTAATGGATTTCTATTGAAAGCTGGTGAACTTATTTTTGCATAGTTACATGCATTAATTTTTTTTAAGAAAAATTGAGCATTAAATGCTTTTATTTGATTTTGAAGGTTAATGCTTTCTAGCGTAAATTTCCTTCGAAAATTGAACACGTAAACCTACAAATTTCGGATTTTAAAAGATAAAACTCCTCGTGGATAGAACTTTGTAATAAATTATAATTTATAATTGCATTTAATACATAAAAAATAAAATGATTTCTAAGAAGTACTTTTATAGTTAGAGGAAAAACTGTTTGTTCACATTTTGACAGGTGAAATTACTAACCTTTACACTTACTTGTTAAATGTGGAAAACGTGGGCGATGAATAATCATCAAATTTCTAAAAGAAAAAAATATATACATAATTTTTGGATTGTTTTCTAACTGAACATGCATTGAATATATTAAAAATAAGGAAAATTTTTTGAATTTTATTTAAGAAAAAAATACAGGAAATTATGCGGTGTCGACGTTTCAAAAACAAGGCCACTACAGAAGAAAACTTTATAAACAAAAATATATATATTTTTTTGTTTATTTTTATTTTAAAATGTTTTTAATTTTTAATATTTTAAATATTTTTAAAAAAAATTTCATAATACTGTATAATAATAACATAATAGCACCCTCTAATAGTAAGCGCGCTGTCTATTGGAGAATATACTGTAAAGCTCATTGTAAATTGAAAAATTACACGTTTGTTCATATTGCCACTCTTACTGTATATTGAAATAAAATGTGTGTTGCGTTGTTGCTCGAAAAAAGTTATTGGATCTATTCCATTAATAGTGGCCCTCTCACCCAATTCACAAAGAATAGAAATAACAGATGCCCTGTAATAAACAGAGCAGCTACAAGGTGAAAAAAGTATTAGACAGCGCGCTGTTTATTCGAATAAATACGTTATATGAGGAGTACTACATGTCAAAAAAATGTTTAGAATAATTGCATTTTATAGTGAAAAAAGTAAAATTTAAGAATCCAAAAAATTATATAGCTTATGGAAATTAAAATGTAAAATACATTCCAAAAAAATCTAATAACAACGTAAAGCTTATACATATATCGTCTCTTCGTTCTAAAAAAGCATCGTTCATCTAAAATTTCTATCAAAATATCATAACGTAATCATACATTTCCAATATAAATTACAAATGGTACATGAATTTTGTAAGGGATAGGATGCTTTTGCGTTAGGTTAAATCAACAGGAACAGCATTAATCACCATCACAGACACATTTATGACACTAGAAAATTCACTTTTTTCCCCATGCTCCAGCACATTTACCAACATAGAAATGTATGCACTTAAATTAAAACATACATTTTACGCTTTTTTAGAATTAAATGCGAGTATTCGACGTTGAAACATTTCGTAGTGGATGCAGAAATTCGCTATTTTACGTCAGATGAGTAAACAAGTGGGTAAATGGGAGATGACTGTGAAAAATAAAAATAAAAAAATAATAAAAAAAATCCGTGTCATGTGATAAGTTTGACTCCAAAGGTCAAGCAGATGTTACGAGTAAATAAAAGTTCATAAAAAAATTTCGTACTATTTCCTTTCAATATTATCCACATATTTATGTGTTACAATTTGAAATGTTCTTCATCTGCTTCCTTTATTTATTTTTGTTTATCTTATGAATGGCATTAATTATTTTCATTTACTCTACTATTAAAACTGAATACTTTCTGCTTTGAAAGTTAATTATTTCCGCTCCTTTTTCTGAATGAAACGGTGTGCAAATTAATTATTTTCACTCCTGTTTCTAGCGAAATTGTGTGAAAATTAATTCTTACTCTTTTTTAGAATGAAACTGTACACAAATTAATTATTTTCGCTCATTTTATTGCTGAAACTGATTACTTTGTGTATGCAAATTAGTTATTTTTCCTCGCTTTTACCAGTAAAATTTAATTTTCTTATGCAAATAAATTAATATACGGTAATTCATTGTTAAATGCAATTTATTTGCATTTAATAATGAATTATTTATTTTTAAAGATTATACATAAAACTAAAATAATTATTTTTAACGATTTTTTTATAATTTTATTAATTTTAAGATCTAAATTACCATTAAAAAATAGAAGTTTTCAAATTTAATAAATTATGATTACAATTATTTTTTAAGTTAATTTTGAACTTTTAGAATTAATAGAATAAAGAATTTTTCTTAGGAAGTTTGATTGTGTCGCCATCTCTCGAGAGAAATGAATTTATTTTTTTATTTTTTATTTTTTGAATAATGTTTACCCAATTTTAATATTGAAATAATCACATAAAATCATAAAATTTCTTTTACAATATTAATAAGAAACATTTATTAATATTTATACAAGTTTGCAGGTTCCATCATTTCATTTACTTTAAGATTCAATGCCAAACAATTACGTGCCTATAGAATGCCACTGATAATCTGATGACTTTTATACGAGCGGAATTCAGTTACGTAGAAACAAATAAAAATCCAACGCTTGAAATAATGAAAAATAAATCAAGCAACGGAATTTTCATAAGACAATGAAACAAATCAGTAAAAGTTGAATCAAGAGATCAGACTCTTGTATACTGGAATAAAAAACAAAAATTAAATTAATAATAAGATTCTTATTAAAACTATGAAATAAAATAGTGGAAGCGGAGTCAGTTAATGAAAATAATAGAATAAAGCCATGTAAATTGAATCAAGCAATGAATCGGATTAGATTGTTCAGATAAAGAATGCAACACATGGGCGATCTGGCAAAGGGGAATGCCTCTCGGGAGGACTTTTATGGGAAACTGGTCCCTATTTACGTGAAAAGAATACTCGGAAAACTCCACCTGGAAGACGCGAATCATCAAAAAAGTTTCATTTATCTTCGGAACGTTATGGATTTTGTAGCGCGTATCGTTCAAATTAAAACTTGCTTTAAAAATTATTTAGGTCTAAATTTTAAAATTTGATTTATCTTATACTATTTAAAGGTTTCTATTAATATATTTTTCGTTTCAGTTGTATGCATTATATGATGGCAATTTTATATCTTTTTTATAATTTAAAGTAATGTAGATACTGTAATTTAAGTATTTGATTGTATTAATATCTATAATTAGGTGTTTTGCCCGATCCATGGGGAGGTCATCTGATAGTGAAGGACGAGGCCCAGCATCTTAGTCTAGTCAAGTCCAATCCTAAGAATCCGACCGGACTCGAATCCGAATTCAAGCTTTCAACTGTTTAGTAGGAGCCATTCCTACTTCAATGAAGTATCCAGGTTCAAATTCAATACGTATTCGCATAATTTTTCACGAACAATTTAGATTGAGGAGTTATTTCTTATTCTTTGTTCATGCTTGCTAATCTCATTGAGGATTGGACCGGCCGTAATATATAGCAGAATCGTATACGTTGTATAAAAATTTATACATACCACTATATTGTATTTAGCACATAACATTTAATCATAATCAATTCTCTTTCCCAAAGAGCAAAAGTCAAAGTAAAAAAGTTTTTCAATAATTCTCAACTTAATTTTTTTTTTTTTTTTTTTGTATTTAACACTACTTTAGACTTTTATGTCTAGAATGCATTTATTATTTTAAAACTTCACCATAAATACTTGAGTTTAATGTAAGTAAATCATAAAACTATTAAACTCGGATGTAATTAAGTATACTATTTAATTTTAATTCGGTGATTTTAATGTCATATGAGCGTGACATTCATGAATAATTAATCTCCGGAGATCTAGAATTGTTAAAATCTTTTACTAAACACAACTTTTACATTATTTATTTGTTATTTTCATGTTTGAGTGCTGTTCTGGAATATAAAAACATGTAAAATGTTACTCCAGTTCTTTCACAGAACTAGAACTTTAAATTTACATTTAAAGAATTGTTAAAAATAGAAAAATAAATTTGATTTTTTCATGAAATCTTTTCTTGAAATAAGTTCAAATGTTTAACAAGAATCTTTCGTGACTGTTAAGGTTTGTTGAACTTTATTTACATAGTCGAATTTATCATCGATTCTTCTTTAAGTACACATATTGTTAGCCATATGATTGACTTCATAACTATATGAACAATTATTTATTGACACATCATCACAATGCCAAGCTACAATTTTTTATCATATTTTAAATTTATTTAATTTTAAAATATTTTAATATAAAATTTTAAAATAATTTTTTTGTTTTGTTTTCAAATGAAAATTCTCTTTTTATAGAGTTAATTGAATGCACTGTAAGATACTTTACCTTAAGACAATATGTTTCACAGAGAAGTAGTATTACCTATGCAGTCTTTAAATTAATGTCAAATCTCTAAATAAGAGTTTAAAATNTCTGGAATTTTTTGCATACCTTTTTAATACGTATTTAATTGCGCAAATAAATTCAATTTAAATTTTTAAAAATGGATTTAATTCTCTCTGAAAATTTTTTTAAATAAGAAAAACTATGTAAGATTCTCCAAGAATTGTATGTAAAATCTGCTCTGTGACGTTTTAAATTGATCATAATTTATATGATCAATAGTATTGCGTTATGCCACTTAACTAAAAATAGTATTTTAGCGCATGTCTACTTGCACTAGATATTTGTTTCTATGGTTATATACATTGGATTTTGCCTTACATTCGATAAGCCATTTTCTAATGGAAGAATTAAGGTAAGATTTAAATTTTTTTGAAATAAAAAATCTTCTAAACATTTAATTTAATGTCTTCTTAATGTTCATTTTTATTTTATAAAGAAATACTATTTTATTGATTGAAGAAAAATCGTTATTTCCTTTACAATTTGAGCCTCTGTAATGTAACATTTTATGGTATTTTTGGAATTTTTATAAGATTTTTTGGAAGCAATTCTATCAAAAATTGTTGTAATATTGACATTAATTTTATGGATACTCATTTTTATATAAATTTTCTGTATAAATTACTTATTTTTTTTAAATTTTTGGTATGTTCAATATAAGCCAATTTCCAGGCCTTGTTATTGATTAAAATCAATTGTTACTCTACAGTCTACAATGTCAATGTTAAATGTGTGAACTAGAATAAAACACACAAAAGTAGAACAAAGGAATTGTGTTAAAGAGATAATTATGATAATCAGTAAAACCATAATGTAAATTAACCACATATTTAAATTCATTAAATCACATTTATTAATGCCTAAAATTATCAATAAATAAAAATTTCGCTAAATTGTAGTAATACAGTAATTATTTTCTAAAAGTTGTTTTTAATAATAGTAATAATAATTCATTTATTTTATGCAATATTAGCGAATACAGTACAGTACATAGTGTGTCTCAATACTATGTAACTTCAAAAGGCAAGTTCTGTATTGAACAGAATTTGATTTAACTTCAATTTTATATTGTTAAATACTTTAAAATATCCAAATTATAAATTTCAGGAATGTGTTTTTTAATTGTCAATTCGCAATTTCCATATACAGTATATGTATATCTTTAATATTTGTGCATGCCTAATCAACATCATGTTAAGATCTAAATTGCAGTCTAACTTTGAACTGGAAACCTTACGTGATCTTCCGGTTCCTGTTCAAAATTAGAACATGTTCTTCCTGTTTCAACGTTGAAATGGAAAATCACGTTTCAGTTCTTCCAGTTCAAGTTGGAAATTTTTAAAATTTGCTCAAAAATACAAAAAGATTGTGTCACGATGTATTTGGATTTACAAATTGGAATATTTTACACGTAAATTAAGAATTCCAATGGCTCGTTCACCAAATTTTAGCTGAAAATTTTAATTTTTAGCTTTTCTGATGTACTGAGAACTAAAAGCAAAAATACTCAGCAATACATATGTATATATTATTTTTCCAAAAATATTATATAAAATTTGATTTAAAGATATGTTTAATAGGTTTCCTCAAGAAAATGTAGCAAAGAGTAGTCCATTGTTCACTAAAGTACCTCCAACGGCACCTCCTTGGTCACCAAGTATTTTTAATGGAATTCCTGAACAATTCAGTCGTTCACCACAGCATTCAGCTTCGAGTAAATCTAAAGTTCCTCTTCGAAAATTATACGTAGCTACAGTTCATCCTCAAGTAGAACCTTGGCAACAATCTTCGAGCAATTCTTGGCAGAATGCTCAATTAGCAAGACTGTATCCTCATACTCCACGTTTGGATCTACCTCAAGAAGGTAAATTTCATATTATTTTAAGAAAAATCAAAGAACTTTTTATGTATTTCTCTAATCTAAACAATATTTTATGAACATGCAATTTGCAATTTCAATTGAACATGGATATAGGACCGAGGTAGGGGCAGAAGGCCGAAATTTCAGAATTGTTACATGGGCTAACTAATAAATTCATAGAAAACTGTCAATACGAGTATTAAAAATTATATTATCACATTTACTTATATATTTTTCTATGAACTGTTTTTCAAAATTTCCCAGAAATGCATTGTTAATGTGTTACAAATACGCTCTGCGTGCAATCCTGCAAAGTGTCTTTCTTATTCGTAGTACAGTACTAGTGATAGATTTTCGTTACTCTCAGCAGTGTGAATTTAGAGTTGTCATATGAAAAAAACTAAAGCTCAAAAACTCAAACTAAAAATTATACTTAATAATTAAAAGTTCTATTATTTTAATAATATTTTTGTATTTATAATTGTTATATGTATTGATATTTTGAATGAAACTGAAACTAATCAAAAATTGCTGTGGTTTTTAGTAATATTTTAATATTTTCCTGCTGTATTGAAATATAATATTCATTATATTGATAAGAAGTATTTTTTTACTATTTTTAAATTTATAACAGACTACTAATGAAAGGCTTATACAAAAGGCGCCATATTTACGTTTGCCTCTGGTGCCAAATGCTTTACTCGCGTCCTTGGTGCATATTTAACATCAAAAATACATTCAAAACATGATTCTGGGAATTCTTACTTTTTACTTTCAAAATTTTGCATATTTTGATAAAATTTAGTAAACTTTTATATAATTTATGCTTCTACAGATGAAACGAACTCATAATCACTTACAAAATGATGGATATTCGGTGCATATTATGCACCGAATATCCATCATTTTGTAAGTGATGAATTGCTAAGATGACCATCAAGTTGATGGACGATTGTCCTCCATTTTAAAATAGAACAGCCATTGTTTTTAAGTAATTGATGTTATAATTGCATGAAATTATCCAAAATAGATTTAAAGTATATTTTATACAAGAAATTTTATTACAAAAATAACGAACTAATTACTATTAATTAGTTCGTTATTTTTTGTAATAAAATTTCTTGTACTCTTTCCTTTGCATGTCTACTTATTGTACTCTAGATGTACAGTACAGTACATAATAATAGAATGCGTGGCATAGGCCTATACTGTTTATATTATTTATCGATGCTGTTAATGCACGTCTTTACATGTATCTTTATAAATTTAATGAAAATATATGAAATTTTTAAATTTATATAGAATTTTACAATCNAACGAACTCATAATCACTTACAAAATGATGGATATTCGGTGCATATTATGCACCGAATATCCATCATTTTGTAAGTGATGAATTGCTAAGATGACCATCAAGTTGATGGACGATTGTCCTCCATTTTAAAATAGAACAGCCATTGTTTTTAAGTAATTGATGTTATAATTGCATGAAATTATCCAAAATAGATTTAAAGTATATTTTATACAAGAAATTTTATTACAAAAATAACGAACTAATTACTATTAATTAGTTCGTTATTTTTTGTAATAAAATTTCTTGTACTCTTTCCTTTGCATGTCTACTTATTGTACTCTAGATGTACAGTACAGTACATAATAATAGAATGCGTGGCATAGGCCTATACTGTTTATATGATTTATCGATGCTGTTAATGCACGTCTTTACATGTATCTTTATAAATTTAATGAAAATATATGAAATTTTTAAATTTATATAGAATTTTACAATCATAAATTGAATATTTTTTTTTTATTTTCTGAAAGTTTTAATTATAATTTGAGGAATTACAGATATGAAGACAATTACTTCATCAACATTTGAATTAAGTAAAATGGATGGATGAAAATATTTGATTAAAATATTAATTAATGTTCTTCGTAACGTTATAATAAATGATTGCAGATATTTTATAAGGTAGAGCGTAAAAACATGACCCAATTTCTTACTATTATTGACGTTTCGTGACTCAAAACGGTGCTTTATTTTTAACTAAGAATTGCACTTTATAGGCTACACGATTAAATTAATTAACATAAAAAGATATGTATCAAATATAACGATGACAGCTCACTAAAAGGTCAATGAAGATTATTATGTTTTTTGTGAATTAAAAGTTTAAAAACTACTCCTTAATTGACCAAGCGGCTGCGAGATAAAGAAATTGTTGACAAAAAGAATATCCTTGATTAAATTCAGACCATGAACTCAAGACTTTTTATACCTGATTTCAACTGAATGACTTAAAATCATGCTAGAGATCCATTATGTATTTGATTAGCCATTTATTTCTTAGGTTTGATAATAGGTTAGGTTTTACCCATGGATTTTTATACATGAATTGATAATATTTATTATTAGCAATATAAACATGGCCTATACTTTCTAATTTTATGTTAAACACATTAACTTTCCGAAGCACTTAGTGGTAGCATTGATATTTTATTTTACACGTTGAAAGAACGTAGCTAAATTATTAAAACTTTAAGAATAATCTAAGAAATTTGAACTAATCTTTGAAATTAATTATATTTGTTTTCTGAATTAAAATTAATTCAAAGCAATTGTTTTTTTAATTCGTATTGTTTTAAAGCAGGGTTTTAGAGAATAAAATAATGTAATTGCCCCTTAAAGGCTTTGTCATTGCATAACTTCTAAACTTAATAGTGAAACAAACAGATTTCTATTCTACTTCTTGGGTAAAATCAATTTTTATTGACATTTAATTATTTCGATTAAAGAATTAATAATGTTGTTTATAATAAGGAAAATTATAAAAGATCAATTTAATTAGTTAAATTTTCAATTTACAAATTCTAAAAATATGTAGCTACAAGACTGATCTTATTATTTTTTTCATATTTTAATTTACATAATTTTATTTTAGTAATTATTATTTTTTAAAAACATAATTAATTGATTTTATACATAGGAGTAAAAATTTATTTTCTTTATTATTGTAATTCATTAAGAGAACTTAAGTTTTAAGTTAATATGGATATTTAACACTCAATTTTGTAAAACTTTAATGTGTTACATGCGTATATAACAATGAATTACATAACGTTTTATTAAATATATTTGCAGCTCAATCACCGAATTCTGCAACACCATCCGAAATAGACTACGAAGGAATTCCTTTAGATTTTATGGATAAAATTCCTGGATATGAATACGTTACATTTACTGCAAGTCAGTTTAATAAAAAATTTTTATCTTTATATTTCTAAATTTAAAACTAAAAAACAAATACAGTATATATTCAGTATTGTAAATTTTTATTTATACTAATACTATATTAATTATAATCTATATACAGTAGAACCTCGATTATCCGGACTAATTGGGGATGAAAATAGTCCGGATAAGGAAAAATTCGGATAATCGAAACAATTACTTCAATTTGTCTTTTAATGATAATACAATGCGTTTTCTTTTCGATGACATATCGGTAATATTAAAAATAAATACTGTATTTAATTCGTGATCAAATTTTCAAGAAACAAACGTTTGTATTGAATTTGGACTACAGTAGAACCTCGATTATCCGCCCCCCCGATCAACGGACCGTCCTAGTCGGCAAATTTCAAATGTCCGCTAGTGATGTGGCGCTACAATATTTGGCTATGTCTTGGCTACTTTAATATTATTTTTACGTGTTTTAGCTGGCAACACTCATTCGACCATGAAAGGGAGCCAGTATTTAAACGAAGCTTAATTTTCTAATTTTTAACGATACAATAGCGACGATTATTATTTTAAAAAATTTTTGTTAGGCTTAACATCGATGAAAATTCAACGCAAAATAGGTTAATAGCGATATACTAATATACTAATTACATGGGATATAATAATATACTACACTAATAATGGATTTTTTCATACTTTTCGGTTATCCGACTTTTCAATTATCCGACCAACCCCAGTCCCCAATTAGGGCGGATAATCGAGGTTCTACTGTACTACTGACCAGCGCCAACAGACTACCTATTGTTTAAAAGACCCTCTGGTGGCGCCAGAAGACGGATTTTATAAAATAAAAAGCAGTTGAAACTGCATTTTTATGAATAAAAATTTGACAAACTATTGATCGTTTTATGAGGAGTAAAATTTTTTCGTCGCGTTTGCGGGGCTTTTAAGTAATGCATAAACTTTCGAGGCGCGAGGCCCTTCGGACCGCGAGGCATAGGCGGTGGCCCACGTCGTTCATGCCTTACGTCGCCCTTGGTCATAGAAATGATGTAATTTGAATATAAATTATTTATAAATACGTATGTCAAGTTATATTTTTATTACGACGTAAAATATATTTAAGAGTTTACGACCACTGTGCCNCGTATAAATGTGAATGTAATTAAAATATACATTACCTTCATTGTAATATTAACGCCATTATTTTCGCAATCTTTATATTTTAACTGTAAACAAATATTATTTATTAAGTCACTAAAAAATTCAGATATATCTCTTTACAATAATACAAAATCGTGTTATTATTTATGGAGTTATAAAAATAACCAGTAATTATTTTATTGTGACATCGTCACAATGCCGGGTTTCAACTTTTAATCATATTTTAAATTTATTTAATTTTAAAATATTTTAATATAAAATTTTAAAATAATTTTTTTGTTTTGTTTTCAAATGAAAATTCTCTTTTTATACAGTTAATTGAATGCACTGTAAGATACTTTACCTTAAGACAATATGTTTCACAGAGAAGTAGTATTACCTATGCAGTCTTTAAATTAATGTCAAATCTCTAAATAAGAGTTTAAAATAAATATTAAATTAATCAATTTGTTTTTAATTAAAACTTGAGTTTCCATTTTCAATATAAATAGTGATATAGAAATTCTTTATTAAGGCAAATTGAAAAAGTTCTGCACACCAATTTATGTATATATATATGTGTGTAGAATGAAATTTAGGATCATTGATTTTATACATAGGAGTAAAAATTTATTTTCNAAATTTAGGATCAAAATATCAACTTTTGAGATTTGATACTAATTTAGTATTTTACATATAGTCTATTTCTCTGCTTATCTAGTTTTGAGGTGAAGTATTTTATGAGCACATTCAATTTAATATAAATAAATAAATTTGTTAAAAAAATTATAATGTTTAAGCATTAATGAAAACAAAATTATACTATACATTTTATTGTATTTTTATATTTAATTAATCTTATATAAAGTTTATGTCTTCTCAAACAAATGCATCTTCCTCCAATTAATTTCGTAATTTAGTTATTTAGGATAAAAAGTAATTTTTAAAACATAATTTTATAAATTTAAAATGTTAAATTAAGATCATTATCAAAAATTAGATTAAAATAATTAAAGTAATTATATAAAATTATTTTAATTTGAATTACTTTATAAATCTCTATATATCAGTCATTTTGATGGATAAAAATCATTAAATATGTATAAAAAGTATATTATTAGAATTTAAAAACTGATATAAAATCAATTAAACATTTAATAAATCACTTTTTAATAGGTAAAACAAATGTTTAATCTTTCTAGGAATTTGTAAAATTTGAATTTTAATTGGAATAGTTCAAAATTTTAAATTAAAATTAATATTTTATAAATCAATGGTTAAATAAAAGTAAAGTAAAACAGATTTAGCAGTTAGAAATAGCTTGTAGGTCAATAAATCAACAGATTTTACATCATTAGATTCTTACCCATCTGATCCTCTCAATAATTTAATGACCCCACCTTTACACTAAAACTGGAATTTTTGATGCTTGTCACAGTTAAAAGCCATCACATATTATCAGATATTTAAGTGCATTTACAGTAATAAAAAAGAAATATGTTTTAGAATCTTAATTTTAAAGATTTTTAATATAATTTTATATTATTACTTTTGTAGTATGTTCTATTATATATACTGAAACAAATTTTGATATTAATAATTCAAATCAAGTAAAGTATGAAATTTTTTAACTATTTATTTACAGTATAGGTTAGAGAGTTTTACAGAGAAACGTCAAGTTGTATGGGTTATTGAACCATTCTCTGGTTGGTATAACTTATAATTTATTAAATATAATTAAGTATATTACTGTTTTATGTAAATATTTTTCTAAATATATAATTTTTTAAAAACAGTTATATAAAATCTTAGAAGGATTTTACAGTAAATTTGACTAGTGGTATATCAAGGAATCATCATTATTATGGGGCATTAGGAATAGTTTTGTGCATAAATTTTTTTATACATAGATATAGGCAGATTTATAAACATATAACTTTAACCATAACTTTAACCAACTTGAACATATATCTCACCTTCAGTTTAGAATATATATGTTAAAGTGTGCTCCTTCAGTTATGCCTCTCCCTTTAAAGAGAGGCATACACTCTTCTGTCTCTTAGTGAACATGACTAAAATTAGCCACAATACTATTGCATCTTTTAATTTAAAAAAAGCCTATCTTTTTGAATCAAAACAGTTCCAAAAATACAAATTATGCAGTTCATAATCATATATCAATAAAATAATGTTTCTATGATATATAGGAGGACTTATAAATGAGGACTCATCAGGAAAACCACCCCAACCATGGGACATACCATGCGCTCCACCAACATACTTCTTAAACTTCACTACGCACATTATCATTCCTTGTACTTTATCCATAAAAAATTGCAATACATGCAATGGAGGAGGCCAAAAATATTGCTATGCATGCACTGGAAATGGTTGGGTATGTATGATAAGACAATTTTTATGCATTATAACAATACTCAACTGAACTCTTTACATATATTTTTAGTTATTAACTTTTTAACATTTATTTTACAACACTTATATTTCTTTTTCTTTCAATATTTGAAATATTTCTTTCAGGAAAATTGTTATTATTGTCAAGGGCTTGGATATAAAGTTCAACTTCAGGGTGAATCTGAGAAATGTCAGCAATGTTTAGGAACTGGAAAAAAAAAGTAATGAATAAATTATTGATTTGACTATTAAATTAAAAACACATTATAACTATTTTTTAATTACAATTAATTATAAATGTATACAGATGCTGGAAATGTAATGGTGAAAGCCTGTTGATCTGTAAACTCTGTCAAGGTTCAGGACAAATTAAATGTTATATACAGTTAATAGTTTCATGGTATGTGTATCAAACTAACTAAAATATAATTATTTAGAAAATTTAAATATATTTAAATTGATTTTTAAAAATTTTTTAAAATTATTTCTTAATTTATAGGATAAATCATAAAGATGAAGAGATATCAGAGGAACCAACTATATCAAAGGAGAAATTAAGAACTGTATCTGGACAAATTATATTTCAGGATATCCATCATTTT